CCCCTTTAAGCCCCCCTTTAAGCCCCCCTTTAAGCCCCCCTTTTGCCCCCCTTTAAACCCCCCTTAAAAGCCCCCCTTTAAGCCCCCCCCTTTAAGCCCCTTTTTAAGCCCCCTTAAACCCCCCTTTAAGCCCCCCTTTAAGCCCCCCTTTAAAATGCCCCCTTAGAGCCCCCCTTTAAGGCCCCCCCGTTTTAAGGGGCTTCAAGCCCCCCCTTTAAGCCCCTCTTTGTAAGCCCCCTTAAAACCCCCCCTAAAGCTCCCTCCTGAAGCCGCAACCAAGCCCCCCCCCTCTGTGGAGGGTTTAGGCAGCTGTTTGAGAGGCCTAATACTTGCTGGGCCTTTGGGCAGCAATTTAAGAGGCGTAATACTTGCTGGGCCTTCTGCGGAGGGTTTAGGCAGCAGTTTAAGAGGCCTAATACTTGCTGGGCCTTTTTTGGACGGTTTGGGCAGTCGCTTAAAACGCGCAACACTTGCTGGGCCTTCTGCGGAGGGTTTAGGCAGTTTAAGAGGCCTGACACTTGCTGGGCCTTTTGTGGAGGGTTTGGGCAGCAGTTTAAAAGGCGTAATACTTGCTGGGCCTTCTGTGGAGGATTTAGGCAGCAGTTTAAAAGGCCGAATACTCGCTGGGCCTTTTGTGGAGGGTTCGGGCAGCAGTTTAAGACGTCTAAGAGGCGTAATACCTTGCTGGGCCTTCGGTGGAGGATTTAGGCAGCAGTTTAAGAGGCCCAACGCGAGCATCGTGTTTGCAAATGGGGGGGGCTGCGCCCCCCCCAACCCCCCCGCTTGTTTAAGCCGGGCAAACTCGCGTGGAAGCATATGAATCATGTCCAAAACAAAACAAAACATGGGGTTCTCGGCTTAGCCCCGCGCCACGTCACTGCTATGCAAATGGGGGGGGCTGCGCCCCCCCCAACCCCTCCGCTTTTTTCTGCCGGGCAAGCTCGCGTGGAAGCATATGAATCATCTCTGAAAAAAAACATGGGGTTCTCGGCTTAGCCCCGCGCCACGTCACTGCTATGAACTCTCTGCTCCTTGAAACTCGAGTAATGAACACAAAAAACAAAAGAAGAAGCGAGCGGGGTGGAATTGCCCTTAAGCTCCTCTTTAAAAAGAGTCTCCTGACTGAGGCGCCTAAGCCCTAGATCCTGACTTGAAGAAGAGCCTAGGGCCAGGCATCCGAAAACATGAAAAAGAGTCTCACTTCTCTGGTTTCGAAGAATGAAACCCAGAAAACAAAACAAGATTCGAGGGGGGTGGAATTTAGAATACATTCCCTTCTTTCTTTTCGTATAGGGAAATGAATGTTTAGAGTCTCACTTCTCTGGTTTCGAAGAATGAAATCCAAAAACAAACACAAAATGTAAAACAAGATTCGAGGGGGGTGGAATTTAGAATACATTCCCTTCTTTCGCTTCGTAAAGGGAAATGTATGTTTAGAGTCTCACTTCTCTGGTTTCGAATAAGGAAATACAAAAAAAAATACAAAAATATAACAAGATTCGAGGGGGGTGGAATTTAGAATAAATTCCTCTCTCTCTCTCTCTCTCTCTCTCTCTTTTCAAATGGAAGTTAGAGTCTCACTTCTCTAGTTTCGAAGAACGAAATCCAAAAAACAAAACAAGATTCGAGGGGGGTGGAATTTAGAATAAATCCCTTCTCTCTTATCTTCAAGATAAAGTAATGTTTAGAGTCGCCCTCAAGCCCCCCTTTTTTCAGCCCCTTTAAGCCCTCCCCCTGAAGTCTCTTTAGCCCCCCCCTTTAAGCCCCCCCCTTCACCTTAAGCCCCCTTCAAAGCCCCCTTGAAGCCCCCCTTCAAGTTAAGCTCCCCTTAAAGCCCCCTTTAAGCTCCCCTTTAAGCCCCCCTTCAAACCCCCTTTAAGCACCCCTTTAAGCCCCCCTTTAAGCCCCCTTTAAGCCCCCCTTTAAGCCCCCCTTAAGCCCCCCCTTAAGCCCCCCCTTAAGCCCCCCCTTGAGCCCCCCCCCCATGGAAGTTAGGGTCTCACTTCTCTAGTTTCGAAGAACGAAATCCAAAAAACAAAACAAGATTTCGAGGGGGGTGGAATTTAGAATAAATCCCTTCTCTCTTATCTTCAAGAAAAAGTAATGTTTAGAGTCGCCCTCAAGCCCCCCTTTTTTCAGCCCCTTTAAGCCCTCCCCCTGAAGTCTCTTTGGCGCCCCCCCCCTTTAAGCCCCCCCCTTCACCTTAAGCCCCCTTCAAAGCCCCCTTGAAGCCCCCTTCAAGCCCCCCTTAAAGCCCCTTTAAGCTCCCCTTGAAGCCCCCTTTAAGCTCCCCTTTAAGCCCCCCTTCAAGCCCCCTTTAACCCCCTTTAAGCCCCCTTTAAGCCCCCTTTTAAAGCCCTCCTTTAAGCTCCCCTTAAGCCCTTAAGCCCCCCCTTAAGCCCCCCCTTAAGCCCCCTTAAGCCCCCCCTTGAGCCTCCCCCTTAAAGCCTCCTTTAAGCCCCCTTTAAAGCCCCTTCAAAGGGTCTTCTCCAAAGCCCCCCCCCTTTGCCCCCTCCCTTAAGCCCCCCCTTAAGCCCCTCCCTGAAGCCCTCCCTTAAGCCCTTTTGAGCAAAGGTGATGGACCCATCAAGATGGGTCCGGTTTTGGGGTTTGGAAGACAGATTTGCGTGTCCAAAACGGCTGGCCTTCAAATTTTGCAGTTGATTCTACAAAAACATCTAAGGAACAGCCACAGCAGATCTTCTCTTGCTGCAAGAATTGTGAAAGAAAAACACAGAACATGGCCCACTCATGCCTCGATTCTGCCTCCGACCAGCTCTTATTGCTGTGAAAAGTGAGAATCTTCCAATACTGCAAGCAACTGACACCAGCTTAGTGTTGGCCCAAAGAAGATGCTCCGTAACAGCTGGCAAAATCTAAGGAAAGTGCCTGCTTTTTCGCACGTCAATTACGACTTTTGCCGGGTTCTTGCTTGCTTAACGTGACCTTGAAATTGCACCAGATAACGTGCAATCCTTCAAAAGGCAAATTCAACCCAGATAACGTGCAATCCTTCAAAAAGGCAGATTCCTCAGGTGATGAAGCTGTTGCCAAAACCAGCGCACTGACTTGTGGCCTGGCAGAACAAGTCAAGAGTTTGCAAGCCAGACTGTTTGCAAAGACTTGGTAACTTCAGCATGTTTTGGAAGCCGCCTTTATGGCTCAAGTGAGCCTTGACTCAAAGGCTCAAGGCTACAAGCTTTTGCAAACGTCTTTCACCCAAGTGGGAAAAGGTGAGGCAAGTGTTTGCTTGCGGTGTGGGTTGTGGGGTTTGGTAGTTTCCCTTTTTTCTGATCGTCAGTGCGTAGGGTTTCTCAGGCTGCTTTGGCCTTCAACGCGGTGCACAGCAAACCTAATAAGAAAATGAATGGTGTCACTGTTTTCAATGTAGAGAAGAGAAAAGAACACAAAAGGAACAAGCGTCCGAGTGACCTGACATTTTCTTGAATGACCAGTTCTTAGAGAGTTCTTTATGTTTTGGAAAACGTTGACCGTGTAATGACAGAAATATCTGTGACCTAAAAGTCTGATAGGCTTGTAGAAAATGTGATTGGATTAGGTGGCAAGAATGAGAAATGGGGCGAGGGATCAAAAGTCTTCATTTGCCGAAAATAGTTCATTGTGTTTAAGTTGTTGCTAGAATTGTTTTTGCTGCTTTTCAAGGTAGTCAACAGGTTTTGGCATGCTGGCTGAAAAAAATGCGTGTAAAAATGATTGAAAAAATTGAGTTTTGGCGTGTGGGCGGAAGCCGTCTCGGCGGTTGCTATCACCCAAAACGGGCATGATGCTCCACCAATGCAGAGAACAAGTGGAGAAGCAAAGAATTGTAAATCCACCTCCCTTGTTTCTTGCCCTTTGTTTCTTGGGTTCCTTTTTTCGAAAATAGAGACGCAGAGAGTGGAGATGAGTTTAAAAATCAGTTATCATGATCTTAGCAATAACGAACTTCTGATGTAGCAGGGGGGGTTGGAGGGGCTCCTCCCCATTGGCCCAAGCTTCAAATTCGACAACTAAGGTGCTTAGCGGGGCTTGAGAAACCTCTCGAAGCCTTCCAAGCCCCCGCCTCCTTCTCCCTTCAAAGCCTCCAAAGGCCGCTTTGTCCTCCCTTCGAAGCCTTCGTCCTCACCTTCAACGGCTAGCCTTCCTCCCTTCAGCCGCGACCCTTCAACTTAGGCTTCGAAGGCTTTGGCAGGAACTGCTTTGGTGCCGAACCCTCGATTACTGAACCAATGCAGGCCGTGAGAGAGCCTGTGGCAGACAGTGGCAGTCACGTAAGCGCCAGATTTGTGGATCCTGACACTGTGAGTGCCCCAACAGATCCGGCAGCGGAGTTTCCAGATCTTCTAGCAAGTTGACTACAAGCTGACCACCACGGTGTTAGCCAACGCAAGCTGACTTCCGCGGTGTTACAGTGCTGGTAAGGCAATGGAATCCGACACAATTTTCTTATGCACCTGAATGCTTATGTTACAACGTAAATGCAATACGCTGTTGGGAGTTTACCATCAAAGTTAATCGTTCCGGCTTCGGCCAGCGGGAAAGCAGGGGATGCAGGGTAACTCCTGTTGATGTAGTCAATCTAGTCACGTGTTGGCATGCACAAAGACGCTTTGAAAACTCTTCATATTGCAGATATTGCAGCCCTGCGCTCAGCCGTGACAAGTTCAGCATGCCCCTTGTTTTCCACCAAATTCGTCATTTAGGGGTCGCCAAAGGTTGCGACACCGGCACGACCCACCGTACCGTTCTTTGTTCGCATGTCCGCTTGAATTCTTGGTTATGTTAGTCTACGTAGTTCCAAGGTGTTTCCTGCGCAGGCGCTTGATTTTCCGTTTCAAGGACATATAAGTGACATTGCTTCATGCTGACGTGGTATGTTTACCTAGCATCAGCAGATTGAACAGTTGTTTCAATGTTTTGAACATGAACGTTCAGCGATTTGGGCTGCGCATGTTTGATCGCGAACTTAGGTATGTCCTGGACGTAGTTAATTCACTGCCATGGACAATTTCTTGCCACCCGGTGCCCAAGGCACATGTCAAGTGCGGGTTGGAGAGTGGTGCAGGTTGCTTCGGGCTTTGACGGCTGAAGGACACTGACTTTTGTTAGGCATGCGTTTGTGTGGCTGGATGGATATGCTGCAGGCAACGATTTCGCGTTGCTTCTGCCACGTCATTTTCGAGAAGATGTGGTGCGGTTTTTGGAGCAGGCGCGTGTGGACATGTTCGTTGAACGTCGAAAGCCAGTTGCTCTCGTGGAGGACATGCCAAGCTTTGACGTCGGTGCATTCGTAGTGGGCACCAAGCCGGTCAAGGTTCCCAATTGCCAAAACCGACCGAGCCTTCGCAAGCATGCTTGCCACTGGAGGCACATCTGCTGGCGAAAACTCCTGGCATTTTGGCCGGTATGCCTTTCTTCAACGCAGTCTTCGAGGCTAAGATGATGTGGTGAGAATTCAATTTTTGGGGGATTCTTCTGCGCAGGAACTCGGATGCGAAGTGCGCTGGTTTGTTACAGAAGGATGTCGGCTTGACTTGTCACCGGCCAGCTCCTCGCAAAAGAGCTTGCTTTAATGTGATATCTGATAGGGCAAGACCTGAATGTAGAGATTGCAAGGTTGCCGAAGCAGCTGCACAGGGCGGACCTCCGCCTGAAGGCCTGAAGACATGTGAGGGTTGGACATATGCTGAGTTTGCATGGTCGATTATTTGGAAGGTGACTTTGATGCTACAACCTCTCACTTCATTGGCAAGATGAAGATTGCAGAGGCTATGCGGCAGATTGGCATTTGTGATGTTTTGCGACGGTGTTTTGGGTCACGACGGTGTTTCAGGTCACTGGACCTGTCTGCCGGTTGCTACAAGGCGAGCGTACTGCGCCAGGTACCGAGTTACTGGCATGAAAGATTTTGCGGGCTAACGTCTGTGTGGACACACATACGGAGCTCCAGGTTAGCTCCCAAAGCTCCAAATTTGCTCCCGAACTTCAAAATTAGCTCCCGGAGCTCAAAATTAGCTCCCGGAGCTCAAAATTAGCTCCGGACACGGTGAAAGCTAATTCGGGGTGTTCTTTTTGTTTGAATCTAGAGTCAAGACTAGTCTTGCAAAATTGTCTTGTAAAATTATGCGGGTCCAGCATGTGGTCAACAATCGAGGCTCAACATTATTTCGCGTTGCAGCGGCATTGCTGGGAGCTTTGTTGAAAGAGCGTTGAGACAAATTTGTTGCTGTTCTTGGGTTTGCCTTGATTTAACGTAATTGTGAATATGCATGAATGTGCGAAACTAGGCCACACAAACCAACCGCTTGGTCGCGATCAAGCAGGAGCACGGTTGGCATGGCCGCTGCCTCGCGTGAAGTGAGCAAGAAGTTGGCAGTAGCTGGTGCGTGATCATCTCCTGATGCTGGAAGGCGAGATCGCGGCCACCCGAAAAGTGACACCTGGCTTTCGGCTTTTTGAGAAATATGTGTCTTGGGCGCACAAAGAAGACTGCCATGATCTGGAATTTAGTCGGCGCACTGAAGATGCAGCCAGCTTAGGCAGTTGTCGTTGGGGGAGGCGTTCCTCATCGTATGACACTGAGCGACATGACTATGCTGAAGGCTGGAGCAGGGCAGTAGCAACAGGCTCCACCGGTCGTGGACGCCACAGCAACAGTTTTGATTTGCACATGCTTACACTGCAATGTCAGAGCACAGTCAACATCAAGCCGCCCTGCCCGAATGGTCTTACAACCTGCCCAGGACAACCATTGCTGGGCGTGTGGTGGTGATATTCAGGCATGGCAGGGTGAGGACGAACGTTGACTGTTGAGCTTCCACAAGTCTCGGCAGGCGATGGTGAGAAAAGCTCGCAGCGCTTGCGGTTTTTCCAACAAGATTGAGGCCAGGGGATCTGCAACACCTAGACATGCAGGCATTCCGATAGGCCTTGACCAAAAGCGGGAAAACACACTTCTCGCTTGCTCCGAAGATGCAGTGATCCAGACAAAGTGCTGCTCCTCAAGGGTGCTCAGGGGGGTGGTTGAGAGGAGAGTTTCGGCTGGAGGGTGCAGGATGTTGAAGTCTCGAAATGGCTAGTCTTGAAATGGCTACGGTGTGCAGAGATGGGCTTGTTCCGAGGTGCGGTTTGAAGTGCCACTGGTGCATGCTGAATCCCTTGGCCAGGTGGAGTGCCAGTCTCTCGCCGAAGCTGTTGAGGCAGCCACCGCAGGAGCGGAGGTGGCATCTTGACAGGATCGGACTGAGGGAGGTCAGGGCATGCGATGTTTAGAGGACTTTGAGAGGTCTCTGTCGAACCCAGGTTATGCTTGACAACTTTCCGGCGCCAGAGGCCAAAACGGCCGCTGCGAAGCTTAAGGCGGGTGCTCCAGACTCGTTTGGCCTCAGCCGATCTTTGGATTTCTTTGTGAGGAGCAGTTCCCGCATGGCCTTACGGTGGAAATCAGTGGAGGATTGAATGAGGAGACGGCGGCAGAGTACTTCAGCGACTTGGTAGAAGGGCATTGTTTGTTGAGCAGCTTGTCCGTTGTGCTTCTGAATTGTGTTGGTAATCTGGTGGAGAGCTAAGCCCAGTGCATGCAAGCCGGCTTGTCTTCAGAGGCGAGCATGTCGATGTTCTGAGCTTCGGAAGCCTGACGCACGGCTATGATGTTCTAGATTTTTCATTGAAAGTCATGGGATAACTGGATACTGCCGCCATTTGCATGTTCCCATGCTGCCTTCCACAGAGAAGGATCGAGCCAAAGCAGCTTCTGTAAACTGTATGCGATGGCACCGCTTGCGAGCACATTCGGAGGCATCTTGTGCTGTGCAGGCATCCCTGCAAACCTACTAGCTGAAATGGGGCCTGCGCGGCTATCAGGTTTCACCTCTGAAAGTGTGGCTGACGCATGCTAGAATGATCTAGAATATGTGGTGTGTCTGAGTTGTGGCATGTTGTGGCCAGCCCATGGACTTCCCTTGGATTGATGGCTGTCTGAGCAAGGTTCCAAGCTCAAGCATGATGTGTTGTCAGGTATGTACGATGACAGAGTGGAATAAACTTGAGAAGTCTTCATGTCGCGGCGTCGGCAATAGACTCAAGCCTTACATCTGAAACGACCAGCAATGAGAAGAAATGCCAACAAAGAACATTCCTTTCGCAAGTAGCGGATCAGTGTGAAATCTGATACCCGCTTGAAGCTTGTGCCATGGCTCGAGGACGACGTGCGCTACTTTGAGAGAGTCCTTTAATCTCAGCCTTCCGTCTTTTGCCATGCTTGCTTAGGTGGTGCGAGTCGGTCTGCGGACTACTATGACGACTACGAGTACTACAGAACCACGGGCTGTTTTTTGCAGCCTCATAGACAAGTGGCCGGTAGCGGGTTGATCGACCGTTGTACATGTAGGTTCACCATTTCACGCCGAGCATGGCAGGCTACTACAGCGAGTCTCGTTCGCCCACTCCTCGACCTCGTCGACGACGTGACCGTGACCGTGGACGCAGGCCGGCCAGTTATCAGTCGAGGAAGGTTAGCTTTTCTGTGTTAGCCGGCAACAAAGTTGTTTCAGAGCCCTTGTACATCTGGTACGGAGGTCAACAAATAGAACAGTTAGATTTCTGAGGACATCTGGCAACGAGATACAAAGGATCACAACAGGAAAGCCAGTCCAAGACCCTCGAGATTCTTGTTGAAGGCGCCGAGACCGCAGCCGCTCCCGGCGTCGCGACCGTCGCCACAACAACCGAGGTCTCCGATGCGTCCCCGTGCCGTTCTTCTTGTCGGGAGACTTTGCGCCCTTGCCAGGCCGCAGTCGTGAGAGGCGGATGCCGGGCCCACGCCCTGGCAACGCAATGCGTCAACGTCGCAGAGAGATAGTGGAGAGATTGAGAGATTGAGAGCTCAAAGCCCAGGAGGGCGCCCTCATTTCGAAGATCGTGGTCGGATGGGCGGGCGAGATGCCAAGCCTGGATCTCAGCTCAGCTCACGATGGTTCATGGTACGCAATGGTACGCATCCCAGCCAAGAGAAAAGATTGTCTGCCGAGTATGCCGTAAAGGCATGCTAACTGGTCAAGAGGCACAGAAAGTGTCCCTCAACAACTGCTGCAGCCGAGAGCTTTGAGCAGCTGCTCTGCGAGCTGCGCGGGCTGCGGGCTGCGCGGGCTGGCGGGACACTGCGCGATTTTCGGGGAGGGCTGTAGTGACTTGCGGGAGGCGCTCGGCCCTGTTTCTGCAAGCCCACGAACCGTGTCCCGCAACCCCGGAAGATAAGGCTCTTACTCCAAGCAGCTCAGGTCTGCTCTAGTCAGGAGTAGTTGCCTTGTGGCTTCCTCCTTGTCAAGAATGAAATGACCCTACCTTGTCATGCCAATGTGTCAAATGCGCAGGGCAGCTGTTGCGCTGAGCTGCCGAGCGCTGTTTGCCTGTGTGCGCAGTAGTGCTTTAGCGGCAGACGCGTAGCGGCCGCCGGGCGCTGACAGGAGCGACAGGAGCGATGTGTGTAGACGGCGAGTCCGGCGCAATTCACTTCCAAGTCTTCTTCCTCGAGTTATCGTAGCAGCAGCTAAGCAGATGCCATTGCGAGTTCTTTTGGCCGGATTCAGCAGGGTGAGCTTTCCATCATTGTGTTGGAATTCATGGAATTCTTTGTGTTGGTTCGGCAAGGAGTCCGGTAAATGGGTATGACGTGAGACGTGAGCCATATTCTTCTTGGCTTGACGGTTCATTCTTCGGGTCCCCAAGTCGTTGATCTTTTCTGTTCAGTCCTGTCAAATCCTGTGAACCTCTGAGCCTCTTTGAGCCTTTGAGCCGGTCACATAGAAACAGGCACTGTGCTGTCTGCGCTTGTGGCAGCTGCTGCTGCGTCGCACGTGCGACGCGTGCGCGGTGGATGTATCCCAACTACACTTCCAGTGCGGAGTCACGGAGCGAGCCGTTGAGAGAGAGGGACACATTAGGGACACACAGAGTAGCGCTGGCCGCTGCCTTTGGGAGACTTGAAATTGGAAAGAGCGAAGTCTCCAGGCGAACTCCCAGCCGGGATGGGGAGCCGTCGAACGTCCAGGGCTCGTTAATTGTAGGACAGTCCACGTGTCTTGGCAGCTTTTTGTTGAGAGGCCTACGTCTGGAATCAATTGATTGATCGCGAGAAGGCTCGCATCGTCTGGGGCCCAACTGCACCAAACATGATGAACTCAGTCTTCCTGCTTCCTGCCCATTCGCCGTCCCTTTTCTTTAAAGAGAGAATTGAAGCGGCTCAGGATCGTAACTTCTCAGAAGCAGACAGAATCCGCGATGATCTTCGTGACCGAGGCGTCGGGGGAGATCTCAGGAGAAAACAGGGTAGCCATCCACTTCTACCTTCTACCATCTCGTACCATCTCCTGCCTTAGTTCAGCCCAAATGGAACACCGCTTGTGCGGGCGTCGCTGTACGTGGGAGAAGGACTTCCGTGCTCGTTCGTCTGACCAGGCATTGAGATTTACGACCGTGAGCGCCGATGGGAGGCAATGCGGGCACAGCACAGCTTACTTTGAATTTGTAAAAATCGACTGCTTCTTGGACATTTTTGCGATAGTTGTGCTACGTGCATGTGGAGCCTAAGGCAGTGTTGAGCAGCTTTCATCTAGTTAATCTGTTTGGCCTCCGGTTGTTCTCATACATTGTCAGGCGAAGGATGGACGTGTAGGACAGCGCCCAAATCATGACGACAAGAAGCGCGACGACGACTGAAGAGCAAAAGCTGGCCCTAGCTGCTGGTTCACAGAAAGGCAGACAGCTGCTCCTCGACTTCATACAGAGCAGGTTGAAACGATTCAGCTGAAAAGTTTAGGCAAATGCGGTGAGCTGCTGATAGCAGGGAGTCGATGTCCGTCTCACCAGGCGGCAGAACAGTAAAAGATCGAGACCCATATGAGCCCGTCACCACCAAAAGTGATCACATGTCCGCCGTGGAAGCTGCAGGTGCTTGCTCTTGGATTTGCAGAGTTTAAAAACATTGAAAGCATTGAGAACACATACCGATGCGCTTTTTCTGCCTGCCAACATGTTTTCTGGCCTCAAGCCCCGGACTGGTGGAGCACTATAAGGCCGGTGCTCCCCTTGGGCGTCCTTGGGTCCGGCCCTCGAAGGTTGAATCGGATTCCGATCAGGATTTCTCATATGTCGCATGTTTCACCTGCCTTTGTTTTATCTGATGGGCAGCGAGGCAGAGCCGTTGGCATGTCCCGACGGCCGCATTGCGGCAGTTGGAGCAGTCATGGCGATTGTCACACTTTTATCGACCCATCGGTGAGACCTTTGCGATGTCCCAGTGGCGCAAGGCAATGTGTCTAGACACGCGCTGGGCGCTTGGCGCCCGTGCGAGGCATGCCGCCATAGCTTGGGATTTGTCTTGCTGTCACGTGGGGGCCAGTGCCCTGAAGAGTGCAGACACATACGATATCATACGTTCTTTGCAGTAGTTGAGCTGCCGCTCTTCAACATTTTCCAGGATTCTGAACTTCTCCAGGACATCTGGTGACAAGGCCGTGCTCTTGATTGAGGCAGTGTCGAGATCAGATGATAAGATCGAAGAACTCTTCGACAAACCCGGCGGATTTCATCACTTTGTCCTGGACATGGGGAAGGGGGGCATCGCTTGAGGGGTGCGAGCTGTTGCGTGTTCCCTCCGTTTGGCACATAATGTCATTTGCAATGTTGGGAGTGGGGCTGCCCGAAGGCCTCACGGCCTTTGAACACTACTGTTCTGCTTGCAGATGAAGGCCAGGTGCATGCTACCGGTAGATACTGCCTGTTGCTAGAATGCACTTGCACCTGCGGGTGACGCTCGCATCCATCCCCATCCTTGTCCAACGAGAGGATGCAGATGGCTGGAAGACAGATTTGACACAGGCCGACATGGAGGCGAGTGGTGATTCGCTGTGTCTCATGTTAGTTTCTACATGGAGACTGCATCCTGCCATTGCCAGGTGCCAGTTCCCAAGCTGCCAATCGGCATCACTTCTGCCGAGTCCTTCGGCTGTGCGCCAACCATAGCCGTCATCCACCACCCACAGTGTCAATTTCAAAAGAAGCAGAAGGATAGCAACACCATTGAGAGGAGCTTGAAAAGGGTGCACACACACACACCTTATAGAATAATCAAGAACGTGGTGGCAGCCAGCAACTCACATGCTCAGCCCATTCCAGCCGGCAATAGCTTGGGCACGTCTGCTGGCGCACAGCACAGAGGTATCGAGATGCTGGGAGTGCTCCCGCCGCCCAACAAAGGCCTTCAACCAGTCGATCGCAGAAAGTCTCCTTTGTTAAGCAATCTACAGAGCCCGTCCTTTGGAGTGCCGTAACTCCAGGCTGCTAGTGTTGTGAAAGGCTGGCAGAGGCAAGGAAAGTCTGTCGACGGCAAGGCCGCGCAGGACTCCCAGATATTTTGGAAGTCTGACGATCTGCCGGCATCTGTGGTGCAACGCTCCAGCCTTGTTCTATTGTGATAGGTAGCTGTTTTAAGACGTTTAAGAGACTCAAATAAAGCCCGTCAGCTGCTGATGATGCCTGGCAGAACTAGAACTGTCGCTTTGTCCTGGCCAGCTACCCAGGTGGCTGGCAAACAAGTTGGCTCCGGATTGGATCTACAACGTAAACGAGGAGAAGTGCCCTGGATGTTAGTGTCGGCTCAGAACTGCGGCGAGTAGAACTTCGTTTCAAACGTGCGCGGCCAGGAGTGGCATCGTTTGTTGGCAGCAGCTTGCAGGTACTACCATGCACCCAGCAAAAGCTGGTGGGAGAAACGACCCCTCGAGCACTCCTGGCCTGTGCCCGTTTTGATTTGGAGCACGTGCTCGATGGGGTCTTGCAGACTTGTCCATGTCAACTGATCCGACTAGCGTGGGGGAATGGTACTGAACTCGACAGGTCGCAAGATCCCAAGGCACCCCCGTACACTTACGTGCGAACCGACGCTTTCCACTTGGAGGTGCGGCGTGTCTCATGAGGGGCAAACACAGCGTCACGAGATGTCACGACTTACGGTTCTGAGGCTTTGCGACACTTTGCAGCCTCGTTGGACTCCGGAGCTTTGCCAGGGGCCTTGTTGGCTCGTTATAGTGGCCTCGCGTAAGTCACATCCTGGGTTCCGTGATGTTTCGGCTGAATCTCTGAAGCTGTTTGACCATCTCAGTTCCCGAGCAGGATGCATCGGATTCCAAGATCGGGTGCTTCTGAATGAAGCCTCGAGTCAAACTAAAAGTCGCTGAAGAGCGCCTCAAGCAAGCATGCACCGTAGAAAGCGGGGGAGTAACTGGACTGACTAACTGGACGAGCCCACCTGCTCTAGCCGACTCTAGCCTCTTTGCAGCAGTAAGCTCGTGCAATCCCAAGAATGTGGCTCAAAGGAGCCCTGCTGACGGGTGGAGTGGGCACTGTGGGCACATTGGCCGCAGAGCTGACTTGCCCTGCGGGACCTGGCGGCGAGGAGCGCTCGGAAAAGATGTTGTAACTTGGGAATCCTACCACGGTATACCACGGTCATGTGGCGATGTCAGACAATCCTTCTCAGCAATGTCCCTTGCAAGGCATGTCGTGCAGCTGCTGCACCGAGCTGGCGGAGCTTCGAGCGCTGCGCCATCCCTGCTGGGGACGACCTCGGAGAGCCTTTGCTGCTGACTTTGGCAGAAGCCAAGGACCATTGTGAGGCCGAAGAAGCATGTTTGGCCTTTACCTTCGAGGGCGAGGATGCAGAGAGTATTGAGGGCCCGTTGTCAGGGAACCCTGTTTGGGTACACTTTAAGACGAGCTTCGACTGCGTGGATGCACCGTGGGTGGCCTGGCGCAAAGTCGGCTCCGTCGACTCAACGGCACCTGGTCCCCCACCAGCATCGCCACAGGACTTAGAGAACGCCCGCGCGTTGTCCTCCTTCACGGGTGGAGCCGGGTCCGGTGTGGCCTTGTGCTTGTTGGGACAGGTCCGTATGTTGTCCCACACGCACCTCGCCTTGGAGCAGCACCTTCTGCAGGTTCTACAGCCGGATGTCTTCTTGTATGGACCTCGTGAAGCCGACCATGAGCCATCTCCAGATTTGCACAGCATCCAGGACTATGTTGCGGACGAGAGGTGGGAGGTGGAGAGCATCCGTGACAGCCTGTATGCGGAGACGCGCGATTCGAGCCGGGTGCTCGACCTCGAGTACGCGCAGGTGCAGGGTAACTGGTTTGGCAGCCAATGCCTCGACCCACCTTTGCGAGACAATCGACCAGGCAGTGCAGTCTGCTCGTATTACAGCCAACATAAGTGCCTCGAGATGATCCAGAAGAAAGAGATACAAAGAGGACAGCCCTACCAATGGGTAGTCGTATCACGATTTGATTTCCGATGGCTAGCTCCACACCCACCACTAGAACTGTTGCAGGCAGACGTGGTTTGGATTCCTTCAGGCAGTGACTGGGAGGGTGGAGTGAATGACCGTCATGCTGTGATGCCGCGGCGACACGCTGACGCCTACCTGAGTTCTTGGAAGCTTCTGACTTCTGGCCGCGCAAAGGACGTGATGCTGGAAACGCTCGGGGCCATGAAGGTCAACGGATATCCGGGCCCTAACACGGAGAATTTTTTGAAGGCACGGCTGCATTTCTTCGAGGTGGAATACGAGCGCTTCCCCAATGTGGCCTATCTCACGTGCACGCTTCGCTCCAAAAGCCGTTGGACACAGTGCTTCGGGACAGCCTCCAACGATGCTCCTGGATGGCTCTACAAGGAGGAGATGGAACACGCCACACGCATTGCGAAATGCGTGCGCTCTTCCTGGACACTCGCGCTGGTTTCGTGCGTGCCTTCTTTGCGGATCTTTGCGGTTTAATGCAAAAGTAGTTAACTTTAAGCCCTATATCCCCAAATATGCCGCTGACAGCTGCCGAGGAATCGACGAAAGATGAAAGACTGTGCGGAGGACATCTCGCACCTCTACCGTGGGCTGCGGTGAAAAAGCTTGCCGTGTTTTGCCTTGAGCCATGCCCCTTCGTCACCAGTAGTCTTCAAGCCCTCAGCCCTTTTTTCAAGATGATTGGTTCGGTTTCTACATGCAAGTATGAGCTGGCATAGACTCTATTCCACATGTCATTGAGAAGGATGCATTCCCGCATATTTCCACATTCACGTGGTCTTTGATCGGCAGCTTGAGGCCTCTGGCTTGGAAGTCCTGGACTCTTTACGTCAAGTGCGCCCCAAGCTCCTTGTGACTGATTGGGCATCGTTGTCAGAGTGACAGCATTTTGCCTTGGGCAGGAAGAAAAAGGCAGCAGTTCAAGTGCACCCGGCTCGTTCAGATTGCTCCTGCACCCATCTGTATACACGAGCAACACATGGTCAGGGATCTGTGTCCCCTTTTTGTGATTTTTGCGCGGTTTCCGCGTGAGCAAGTGGTACTGCAGGGTTTGCTCATCTCGTCCATGGGTAAAGGGTATGCGACATGCTGCCTAACCAAGCACTTGATGCTTTAGCTCAGGGTAGCTCGGGATTCGTTGTGCGCTGCTGGTTCATCAGATCCGATCAAACTCATGCCCAATGTGACGACATGAACGTGACTACGACAGATTGCTGCTGCACCCGTGGTGGAAGAAGTGCCGCAAGTGGAAGATGCAGGTTGGGGTTGCTGCGCAGCGAACCGTTGGAACAGCCTTCGCAATGCACCTTCGTGATGATTGTTGCACTGCAAGATCTCGCAAGGCATCGCAGAGCTTCCTGCCGAAGTTTCAAGGCGCGAGAACGCTCTCTAACAGATGATTGTTACTCTAAATGAACCCCTCTCCAACAAATGTTTGTTACTCTCAGTGAACCCCTCGGCCAGGCTAGAAGAGATCGAGCCCAAGCTCCCACAGCTGCCAGGTGTGGAGCATTGCGGACTCTTTTCGAGTAAACCGGGAGCCTGATCTGCCCAGATGAGAGTTCCATATCATTGGGAATACTCTGGGCGCAAGTGTCTCTAGGATGCTACTTTCTGACCAAAAGTTTTCATGAGCAGCACCACGTGTTTCAACGGCTCACGCAAGTCGTCAGGGATGCTTCCCACAGGCTTTCCAAAAAAACGACAGAGCAGTTCATTGGATGGACAGCCCTCTTTTCAACTTCTTCAGCCGAACTCATGGGCTTCAACTTGTGTTTACTGTAATGGGGTCAAGTACTGCCAACTCCGCCCTCCATAGACTGAGCCCCTGCCGGTGCTGGTGTGGCTTGAGTTTCAGCATGTTGCGTGTCGCTACTTGTACGTACCATCTGCTGTGTTTGCGGCTGTTCATGATGCTCTCCTGATCAGACAATTCGGCCATTATCGCGGCCATCGCAAATGCACCGGAAGATGAAGAAGAAGAGGAAGAAGAGGCAGACGCGGCGGAGGAGCAAGAGGAGCGGGGTGCTTGGCACTTCACTTCTCTGCAGCTGCTGGCATGGCATAGTTGCAAATGCCAGCGGAGCTTTCATAGCAGATAACGCCTCAGGGCCATGAGTTTCAGAAGATTGTGAAGTCGAGACAGCTTCTGTGCACATGCTCGAGATGGCTTGTGGATCCACTCTTGTTTCGAGGGCTGAGGGCTTTGAGGTTCCCTAGGGCTTTAGACCGTACTCTAGTTAGGCTTTGCGGTTTAGGGCCCATGGTGACGTGTTTTTCATCCTTTGCCCATGTCTTTTTAGCGTTTGATTGCAACGTTGACTTTGCTTGTTGTGCGTTTCGATTCCTGGTTTTCAGAATCTAGTCTTGAATCTGTTCTCTGAGTTGTTCGTCGCTCCACGTAGAATGGTGGTGTACAAGCTTTGACACGGATTGGACAAGAGATACCATGATACCCAACTCGCATGCTTCTTGGAGCCTTGTCAGCTCAGGTCGACACCACAACCTGCGAAAACATCTGCCATTGCCTTTGTGATTCCAAGTTGCGGGCAATCAGATCTCTGTCTTTCTCAGTCTCTCACACACACTGACTCCCTCTGTCTCTCTCACCCTCTTGCGCTTTGAGTGTCCCAGGTCAAAAGCCGAAAGAGGGGTGCATGGCTAAGATGGTGCGTTTTTGTTTCACCTGTTTGGCCGAACAGCGTTTCCAGTGCTCCTCAAGGCAGAGGGCACAGCAAATACCAGTAGCGGGTCGATATGGAGGTTCAAGGGGCAATTTTGGCAGAGAAGGGTTGGCTGGCAGATGTTGGCAAGAACCAGCTAAGATAGCTAAGGCTGCTGCTTTTGCTTCCGTGCTCGAGCACCGGTGGATTCCGAGTCGGAGAGTGAGCAGGAGGAGGCGCTGAAGTCCGCTGAAGACTGAAAGAAGACGCAGAGCTGAGCCGGACTGAAATGCAGGAGGCTTTCCCTCTTCTTGAGCCGCCTGCTCCCAAGAGCGAGCGGACGCCTCAGAGTGCAAGTGCTGCCTACTCAAACTTCGACAGGAGACTTCGCTCAATTTTTTTCAATTTTATAGTGTGGTCCCATAGCTTCATCTGTCATATGCTCCTTCAGAACATGAGCATAGGTCCAGCAAAGGCGAAGCAGATACAAGTTGTTGGTGTTATAGTTTCAAGCTCTTGATGGCTTGGCTGTCACATCCGGGTCTGCTGCCAAAAGTGAAGGTTTTGAAGTCATGGGCTTCGCTGGGCTTGTGGCCGTCCTGTGCAGTACGTTCCCAACGCAGACCCAACTGTCATCAAAGCTCTGATATGCAGAGCAGCCTTGAGCAACAGGGAGAGTGTTATGGTGCCGTACTCGTAATTGCCTGTAAAAAACAAACCAGCCCAAGCGCCGCATCTCATGAGCAGCACATCGAAGAGTGGAGGCCCGCCAGGCCACCGCCGCCCTCAGAGCGAACGGCCTCCACCGCCACGGGTAGCGCCTCGCAGGCCCGGAACATAGCCGAAAGCGTCCGAAAGCATAAAGCCGAAAGTCTCCAGAAGCCACGTTCCGGAGTGCAAAGCCGTGGGCATGCTTCTGGCCGATGTCTTCCGAAGGACGTCGTCACGGACACTTCACGGAGCGTTGGCGCGGCCCTGAAGTTCTACATTTGGGATCATTTGGGGGCTCGCACGGCACTTGTCATCAACAGATAACCTGCTGAGATTGTTAAGGAGTTGAGAGTCCGGCGGCTAAGAAGGAGGAGGTCACTGCCACTGTGATTCGCTGTGTCGCCTTTCCACTTCGGGTCTTTGGAGCGCAGCGAGCGCAGTGTGACCAATACTTCAGGCTCCACGCGTGTCTCCTTCAGACGAGCTGCAGACTCGCAGGCGGAACGTATCCTCGTGAGGGCAACCACAACTGCAACCGCATGCCCAAACGGTACTCTGAACGCCCGAAGGTCTCAGTTCAGCACGGCAATTCGGAAGATTCGTGTGCTCTGGTTGTTTGAGGTTGCAGCACTTCCTTACAGACATCAGCCGAAATCCACAACGGCTTGTCCAATGCTCAGATCGGCGAGTGGGTGAGAAGTGCTTCTTGCACTGATGACCGATTCGCCTTCAGGTAACACACGTCGAGCGCAGGCGGACCACACGACTTGTTTCTTTAGTGTGTAGGGGGTTACGGGCAGGAAGAAGGAGGCTTTGTCAGGTGCTGTCGCACCCGACATCAGCGAGATTGGAGCGCAAGTACGACTTTGAGCTGAGTTGGTTCTTGGAGTAAATTGTGCACATGGTTTCTTGACAGGCGTGCTGACAAGACGGCAGCATCCTTCATGCAACTTGGCAGTTGTTCCTGGAATATCGCAGAAACTGAATGAGGTGTTGTTATTGTACATTGTGGTGTCATGTTTCGCTTCGAGGTAGCTGGGCAGCTGCGCAGGCCTTGGTCTTGATGTGTTTCATTGACTCATGCCTTTGCCACCTTTGCCACCATTGCCTTTGCTTGGCAGGCACTGCTGGGTGAGGCCATGAGCGAGGCTGCGGCTTAGATTGGCTTGGATGGGCTTAGCTCGAATGCTTGCAAAGCAAGACATGATGGCCCCTCCTGACACCTCCCGCGGAACATGTCATGGAGAGCTTCAGTATCAACAGGCGGGAGAGGTCTGTGAAGGTATGTAAAGACGACCTTGCAGTTGAGCCAACTCGCTCCTTCGTGGCTTGGCGAACGACCACGCTGCCATAGAGTGATGTGGCAAAGAGGGTGGCATCGGCCGGAAGATGTCCAACAGATAATGTACAGCTGAGCCTCCAGCTTCTCGCTAAGCGAGCTCTTGACCCATGCTGAGCATGGGTTATGTTACCCGACATTTCTAGTGCTGCGCAGCAAGGAAAACCAAGATCTGAAGATCGGCTCTGACTCGTCACTTTCCCGGGTTGGCGAAAGGATCGCGCTTTTCACCCTGCTGGCATTCGAGCTAGGCATCCCAAGAAACAGAATCATCCCTTAGGGTGCCAGCTGCCAAGGTCACGAGTCAAGAAAAGACTCGTTTGTGGGGGGTAGCTTGCATTTGTTTCTAGGTGAAGAGTCCCTTGCGAAGGTCGCTGGTCGTTCAGAGGTTCCTTTGGGAGGTCCCCGGTCCCGATCCCCCTTAAGACAAACGGGGCGAAGTTAATGTGTCGGAGGTGCCGGCTGGCCCTCCTATGAGGACTGTTTAGGGATCTGTTGCGAGGTTACATACAAAGGCGGGGAGATCAGGTTTAAGCAGAGCGTGCAAGGTCCAGGGGGATGATGTACACCAGTGGCGACTTTACTTTGTCCGTCGATGCGTGTTGCCACAGTCATGCTCGGTTGACCCGTCCTGATGGCTGTCCACTTGCCTCGTCCGATACATGTCGTGCCCGGTGAACTTCGTCCTGTAGGGCAGACTGTACCGCAACCACCGCCTGCTGGCCTCAAGCTACAGCTAAGATCTTTTTCTCCTTACCTAAGCGTTTTTCATCAAACTTCCAAATGCTGTGTCCTCAGTGTGGTGCGGTACAGGAATGAATGATAGTGAAGGTGATCCAGTGACATTGCTGAAGTCAACTGAGGCTTTCAAGCTTTCGGATCCTCGTCCTTGCTGCGCTTGCGTGGCCCGGAGCTGCGGAGGCTACTGTGATTCTAATCTTCCACACGTTTGAACCGTCAAAGGCTGCGTGTTGCTCAGGCCCTCGACAGCGGAGCCCTGACAGCGGATGACGAGTGTCGTGCTGATGCCGAGTGTGGCCTCAGTGCCTTGCAAATGCGAGGCGACAGAGAACACAACGGGGATCAATCTTTCCGCCGTTGCAAGCTACTGTTGCTTGTTCGTAGTGGGATGTCGGCTTCGACTGGGGCCTCTCGTGGAGCAGGTGCCTCGAAGGGCGTGCCCATCGTGGGCGACATAATAGGCGAGCTGGAGGAGTGACTTGCTCTCCGACGCCTTCCTACATTTGCCCGCAAATCGTGGTTCTGCGATTGCCAGGACCCAGATGATGAGATTCCCGAAGTGGATGAAGAAGAAGATGAGGTGGCTAAACCTGGCAATGCCACGGATTCGACAACACAGTCCCAGCCGAGCACGCAGCCCGAGCAGTCAGAGGAGGAAGGGGAAGAGGACGGAGAGGCTGGCTCGCTACGTTACTCCGGCGATCCCGTGCGCAGCTTAGAATGACATGCTTAGCCGCAGGGAGCCGTGACGACAACCACAGACGTCGGCCAGCCGCATCCAGAGGACAGGGCCGCACACATTGAAGGTTCATTGGTCATTGTTCGTGCTTGTGAACTTGGGGCAGCACTGTAATGTACAATAATGTACAGCCGTTGCTGCCTTTTGGATATGCCCTGATGTGCCTGAAATCTTGCGGCGTCGCCTCGAGCTTCCTGTTTACCGTAGAGCTGGCGCAGGATGCGGCTTGTGCCAAAGTCAACGAGCAGTGCGGCGGCCAGTGGTACTACGGTCCTATCTGCTGTCCGCATGACCACATCTGCTACGAGGCCCCCATGTTGCTAGTCTACAAAATCTGGCAGCGCACCAAACTGGCAGGTGAACCAGTACTACTCGCAGTGTGTGACCCATGAGAAGGCCGAGGACACTGGTCAGCTGATGTTGGCCGTATTTCAGGTCTGGGTGAAGTTCAGTGTGTGGTCTGGAGGAGATGGCCAACCTGGAAAATATGACGACCACTACTACTACGACCACTAACGCGGACCCGCAGCACTGCCGACTGGGCTACCAGCCTCCTGGCAACCAGATTGTGCCACAATCCTGCCAAGCCTCGGCTGTTGCTCATTCTTTACAAGCATTCTCATGCAATGCTTTCAGAAAGATGCCAATCTCGAGGCAGTGTGGTGGCGTAGATGAAGAGACGAAATTGAATTACACGGGCAGCACTTGCTGCTATGCCGGCTTCTTCTGCAAGCAGGCTGCGCAGTAGTGGTGCTTGATAGCAAAGGCTAGGACGACTAGGTCATACTAGGTCGTTGCCACTAGGCCCGTCCTACGCATGGGTGTAGGCTGCCTCGTTACTCCGCTTCTTTGCCAGACCGACCAATTCTTCTCTCAGTGCGCTCCCGTCGATCCTTGGCCTGTGCGAAGTTCACTCGGCTATTTCTTTGCTAGTTTTGAGCTTCGAACTGCGATCCGAGCTGCGATCCGAGCTTAAGGATCAAAACAGCTCCTTCTTGCCTTACAAGCCCACTGAGCAGCTTGAGGAGCTGCTGGAATGTTCATCCCCCAAACTCGTTCTAATTATTCTAATTCAAGTACTGTCAAACATGGTTGCCTAGCATGGCAGATCCACAGCATATCTGAAGAATGATGTTGGAAGATGGTGGCACATTCTTTAACCCAAACAGTGTCGTTTGGGATCCTCTATTCAGAAGATCCTCAGAAGCAAAGAGGATCGTGCCGGGATGAGCTGAGGGGGGGGCCTGTGAGTTTAGGCGGGAAGCGGGTCTGGGGCACGGGGCTTGGGCGGTGTCTCCCAAATCTTTCCGTCCACGCTGCGGGAGGGTCTTCGCGGATACCAGTTTGCCAATTGTATGCGGTAGCTACGAATTGTATGCGAAACGTGCTCCAGGCATCGTTCCGATTGTTTGACCCGTAGGTGCCTCAGGACCATCCGAAACTCCCGACGACGTTCCGGCAGGAGCCCAGCAAAGCGCCAGTGTTCACCTTCTATGTCTACCGCGCAGCCACCGAGGTGTTGAGGGCTGTGGACGGCTTTGGGCTCGGGTTCAAGTTCTTATTTTGGTTTGCAGAGGGTTGAGGGCTCAAAGTCTAGGTGTATCTATGCAATTCTATGTGTGTAGACTGGAGGATGATGACTATGTCGAGAACATCAATGTCGGAGATCTGGCTGGCACCCTGTGGTATCTTCACAACGAGGCAACTCTGTCAGGCTTTCGGCTCTTCGATTCCGTTCTTCAAGACTTCAGGTCCCACATGTCATCTAAGCTAGGGCTTGCAGTGCACGGCTCCTGTGGACACTGCCTTGGCTACCGTTGCAAGTAAGCGCACAACTGGCATGCATGAAGTTGCAGCTGATAAGTGGCGTGCTTGCAGGTCGTGTGGGTAAGGCCCCGCAAGTTTGGCATCTCGCGGATTCTTCGCTATAAGTATCTCGGTGGCAATCGCACAGCTTGACAGGCACCTTGCATCAGGGTACGTGGGTTGGGGTGGACAGGCCCATCCTGTCCGGATATGGATGGCTTTAGGCTTGCCAACGCTTGCAAGCAAGGCAAGAACAGCCTTGTCGCCGGAAGCACAAAACAAGAAAGCTTGTTTTGACACGCGCGTGTACAGTGAGGAAATCCCGTCCCCCAAAAACGAAGCACTCGGAGATCATGCCCCATGGAACCAACCGATTCAGAGTAACCATGCCATGCCGGTCTCCACAGCTGAGGATCTCCACTCGCGCTACACAGCCCTTGTACGAGCTGGGAATGAATTTCGGCGTCCGCTACTCGTATGATGCAGCCCAGTGCACTGGACTTCGGCTCACAACGGGAAGATCGAATAGGGCAAATGTGATACACCTTGAGACCACGTGCTGAACAACCCGGGCTTGCTGACACTACTGCACACCGAAAGTCTTATAACAGAGATGCTCGTGAACCCCATTGTGTCTTTAGGGTATGAGAGAGCGAAATTGGACTCAGGACATGCACCTTTAGATACAGAAAGGTGAGTCTCATGCTAGTCACCCCAGGAAGGATCTGTGTTTCTCAGGCAGGTTTGGCAGAAAGGAGAAAGGTTTGCCTCCTGTTGTGGAGTTTTGCCGACTGCGGCAGGACCCTGGTCTTGCGACTTGAACTATGAGAAGTTTGGGCCTCTTGCCTCAAAACAAGGCAAGGTGCAAAGGCATTAGAAAAGGCCAGCAAATTAGCATGCAGCCTTCTTCTTTGCAAGTTCATTCCATGGACATGTGCGAGCTGCGCGAACGATTGTGATGGAGTTCTTTGGTTCTTCTGGGCTTGACTCAGGTACTTTGTTGGATGCAACAACCTGGGCATGTTCCCCTTTCCGCTGTACGACACGCACTATCCCAATGCGGGGGCGCAGGGTATGCATACGGTCAAGCCATGTGCTAGGCTCTGATCTCCAGCGTAATGCTGCTGGCTAAAAACACACTTCTCCCTCAGCTGGCGTTTACACTTCGGATAAGTCATCATGTAGCTTGGAGGCCACGTGGTATGCGCTGCCGGGGGAGTGCTCTTCCAAGGCCTATGAGGTGCTCGGCAGCATTCTGCAGAGATCTCCTTGGAGCATTAAAGCACATGACAGCCGTCGAAAACCAATCGAAAAGGGCCACTTAAAAGTGACGCCCGGAGGACAAGGATCCGAAGTGCAAGATGCAGCAACCTGGCGGTCGCTGCGAGGGCGAGCCTACCGGCCAAGGCCTGGAACCCCCCGGAGAGTCCGAGTTGTCCATGAAGGGTTTTGAAATGTTTTGAAGATCTCTCTGCACATGTTTGTTGGCATAGTTTCTGCGCTACTTTGGTTAGTTTGTGTTTGTATGAGTGTGCCTTCGCGGGCAAGCAGGAAACTGCACCTACAGCATCGAGATCATGGGTTCCGTGTCGATAGACGAGATCGAGGGAATCTCAAGCTACCACGACTTCATCCACACAGGACCTGACAACTCGGGAAGAGTCGGGAATAATGTTCGAAGCCATGAGGATCTGCGAGGTACAGGCTGTGCCCGACAGACGCGGGGTGCGGCTGGAGAGTTCAAGTTCAGATATAGTCTTTCTCGGTACACGAGCACCCGCGCAACCTAACCCACCGCAGATTTTGGTTCGTTTCAGGAAGCCAGGTCGAGTTCAACAAAACCTTGGACAAGGGCGTCGGCATGACTTTCTGGACACTTGCCATCAAGAGTTGTGAGGCAGCTTTGGTTCTGTGAGTTGTTGCTGTTGCATCAATGTCGCGCCGAGGGACCACATGAATGACACTGCCAAAAACGTAGAGCGCATTGAGAAGGTCCGTAAGGTCTTCGGACAGAAGTATCCCGACCAGCCCGCAGACGAGGACATGCAACCTCCCACGTGCGACTTTAATTTTGAGGTCTTCTATGGGACCTCGACCACCACCACCACCACCACAACCACCACCACCACCACCAGCACCACCACAGCGGCCGCGACAGCCACCACCGATGCCACCAGCACTACCAGCGCTGCTGCCAGCAGCATCACCAGCACTACTGCCAGCATGACCGCCGACACCAGCTCTGAAAGCACGGAGGCGACGGAGTCCACTGAGGCCGCCAGTTCCACCGAGGCCGTGACAGTTGCCCCAAGCACCAGTGCCACAACCACCGAAGAGACAACCGCAGCGAGCACTACTGAAACTGAAGCTGCTACTTCAGAGCCTGTTGCCAGTACCACAGAGACCATGACAACAAGCAACACTACCGTCAGCACGTCTATGACGACGACACCCAAGGGTTGCCAGGCCATGAGGAAGGAACCTAATGGCATTCATTTTCTCGTCATTTCTTGCGCCAGGATGCTGTTATGGGATCCCATTGCTACTCCTCGGTGCTTTGGGCCATGGAGCACGGTCTCAAGCTGCATCCAACTTGGTGAGCGACTTAAAGTGCGCACACACTTGCAGCATATTCCAGCTTTTTTTCCCGACTACAATGTGAAAGTTGTGCTGGGATGTTACAGTTGCTGTGAGGTATCCGGGCCTTACAGCCTCGTCAACCTTTGCAGAATTTCAGGCCAGTGCCTCTACCGACAACAGATTGTAACACAGTGACTCCCAGTTTCGTCACCAGCGAACGAGAGCTCAACCCACCGGCAGCTGGAAGCCAGGGGCAGTTGGACCTTGTGCGTGTTTGCACCATGTCTTTTGTAGGTGCCTCCGCACGCCTTGGGGTTTAGGGTTGAGGGTTTAGGCCACAAAGCAGGTTTCAGGCAATGTCCTGTGCCGTCCATCAACTGTCTGTCAATTCAGCATCGCCTGATTGAAACATAGTTTCACATCGGTGGCAGGAGCGAGTGCACCACGTCACGCCGGACGTGTGCCCAGTGCCCTGCACGGCGAAAGCAGGCTCGGTATTTTGAAGGAGCGAGGGATTCTGCCGCATGTCTTGGTTATGAGGGTGTTCGGGAGGGGGTGTCTTGGATAACTAGAGAAACTGGATGGTACGGGTGAGGACGCGGACGTATGGCCCTGAACTGCACGACGTACGCTATGTCTGTACACGGCCTCAAGGCTACCTCACCTGACTCGCCTTTCCACCATTTTCCACCCAAACAACATCCGAAAATGAGCAAGCCCATTATTATTGCACTGTCGCTGCGGCCTTGATCCATGCCCGTCGGCATGGTGAACTTACCGGTTTGCTCGGTGTCATCTCCTGCGCAGGGACCATGCTTCTCTGTTCCATGCACAACAGCATGCAAAGGGGGGGGAGTGTCCTGCGTGGCAAAGCCAGGCTGCCATGACCCTGTGGAGGGTGAGTCCTGCTTCTCCGCTGTGAAGTGGGATCGGGCCCCAGCATGATTTTCGAAAGAAGATCAGTCCTATGCACAATGGCTGCTACGAGTAGCATGAACCTCAGGCAATGAAGTCAGGCATCAAGAAGCATCCGCACTGGATCCTTGGCTGCGTGGCAGCTGCTCTGTCCAAAACTTTTATGGCAGAGAAGTGCACGTTGGCGAAAGAGTTCCCATTCCATGACAGGTACCCCGGTCTCAGCAAGGAGTCGTCTTTCAAGGACTTCCAGGTGAGGTCGACAGTTGCCGCGTCCATCCCGAAGCCTCAAGTGCCCTGGCAGGCCGCAGTTCACAAGAAGCTGCCGAAGAAGTGCATGATGCCTTGCTCTCCCTGATGATTTTGCTTCCCCTTCAGAGCCTTGGGTCTCTTCAGTACGACATTTTAACTTGTGCGCCCGGTCTCACTCCTCCACATATGGAGATATGTTCTGACAGAGACATCTTCCTGAAGGACTTGATCTCGCGGAGCATAGCTTAGTGCCGGGCGCCAGCAAAAAGATGATGCAGATGGCCTTTGTCTTGTCCCCTAGGAGGTAAGAGCGTAGGATGCTGAGCTGTGAGCCATCGGTTGTTTCATGATGTGATTTCGGTGATGTTTTTGGGGGCTTCCGTTAGCTACACGAGTGGACATGTAGGTTTTGGATAAGGCCTGTTGGGTTTTTTCTCTCTCTACAGGGTTAGGGTTTAGGGGATGCCATAGGCGGGCTCAGTCGGGAGGGAGGGTTTATGGAGGGACTTCAGGCCTGCCCGTCCTCCTGGGCCCCTCCCACACATTGCAGATCCGAGGCGCCTGACTTTTTTTCTTAAAAAACAGACTTTCCACCACCTTCGCGCAACAGCTTGCCAGAGGCATGTGGAGTCGCACTGAAATAGTAAGAACAGCGGTGCCTTTCTTCGGCTTCAGCTCTATCAGCTCTGCTGGAATGAGACCTTTCATCTTGAAGCCCGAGCCAGTCTAACTGCATCAGTCTGCATCAGTTCCTCTAAGCCCTAGCCTTGCAAATCAAGCCCAAAAATACTCCCAAGAGATTTCGCGGCTCCATGGCGTCCCTGTGGCCGGGCAACTATCTTCCCAGCGCCTGCAAGGGCTGCATCATCGCCGGGCCGTGCAGAAGGGTTGGCATTTTTGTGGCGCTTCTGGGGGGGGGCTTTGTTGAATACCCCCTTGACCCTTGAAAATGAAGGGCTGCGCTGCACGGAATCCATGCACCTTGACGGTGCATGGTTTCCAATTTCCAAGTCTGCAGCCGGATCTGTGTACATTGTCACGTATGTGCTTGTTGCGGCGATCGTTTGAGACCCGGCATGGCCATGTCATTGCCGTGTCAGTGGCAGCCGGGAAAGCAGCCTCAGGTCCATCGATCGCATCCTTCCATCGTTGGCATCTTCCCTGTGCCGGAGGTTTGGCAGCCTTGTGGGGTGATGCTGCCGAAAACATCCAGAACTGAATGTCCTGAAAGTGCTGACTTTGCTAGACCATCTCCGGTTGCTGGTTGGGGGAGCTGTCTCGGATCAGTGTTGGATATGTTGGATAGAGGCTATTTTCAGGAGGTGCTGTTGCCAGCGCTGCCAGGAGTCTTGCAGTGCTGACACTTTCCAGTGGGACCCGAAAAGCAAGGTGCAGGGTACTTGTGGGTGCAGCTTGCGGGTTTCGAGCCTCTAGAGATCCTTGCATAGATCGCACGCGCCCTTTCACTGATTCACGCAGTCCGCAGTCTGCTCTCGCCAAGTCCATATTGAAAGCATGTCGTATGGGTTGAATGATGTTGAATGGCATTTGAACGGGTTTGACTTTACTGACCGGGGAGGTCTTCACAGTGGTCAATGCAAGACGTTACCCGTGCTTCACGCGACTCAGTCAGCATTCTGGGAGCTCCCTTCCGCAAGCTTCACGTGTCACCCGGTAGCTAAGTGGTTGTCTGTAGGTACCTCACATTCTTGGGCATCCACGTCCACGACCGAAATGGCCGGCCCTTTGAACCTGGCCACTGGGAATGCACTTTCATTTCGAAGAGACGCGAATGGAAAGAACTCGAGCCCCTGGTACAGGGTGAAGGGCCGACAGGCACACTGTAACCCAGCAAGGGTTTAGATTCTGATTTTGCCCTTCTGATCTATGGGGGAGGGGAGCGGGGGGGGCCAAAGTGGGGTGCCTTTGTGGGCCATCGGCAGGCTTCACGAGGTCGGACGCTGGGGTGGAGGAGATGGCCCTGTTTGGGCCTCAGTGCAGTTGGGGTGTCCCAATCTCCGGCCAAAACCCAAAGACCAAAGCCCGTGCCCAGCGGAGTGAGTGCGCAAGCAAGCAAGAGGGTCCCAAATCTCTGTTTTGTTGGCAACTTTGTTGGTGATCTACAAATGCATCTTGCGAACTCTTTCACCTAGAACATTTGTCGTGGTGGCGGACCCCATGACCGCTATTCGCCTTGGAAAGATCGAGGCCGTCGCAATACGCGGTGCTGTGATGCTTGCTTGATTGCTGCGACTCTGTAGACGACATCATCAAAACAATATCAAAACATCTCTAGACCCGAGGCATCCCGAGGCTCAAACCTCAAGCTGCCAACTTGGGAGGCGGCTGCGCTCCCTTCCTCAGGCTTCTTTGCCATCGAGCTGGAGAAGCTCCAGGCCACAGAGCCTCAGGGCAAGCTTCTTGCGGCTGAATGACCCGAACTCCTCCTTCTGGAAAACAAATCAGCATGGTAGCACAAGGTAGCACATTTTCACATGTAGCACGCAGGCACCTTCGCTTCCGGCCTCCCTCCATGTCCACGAGGACCTGCTTGACCAGGATTTGGGGGAGTTTCAATTCTTCAAGGCATCAGGTGCAACAGTTGTTTGTGCAGGATCCAGAAGGCTATGGTTTCCCTCTCCCTGATGCCGCCGGACCGTACCTTTGTACCCAAGGCATCGGAGGACCCTTGCTCGAAGGTGGAATTCAAGAGATGGTGTTAGTATGTTCTAACTCTAGTACCAACCGACCCTACGAAGTTCAGCAGACTAGCCAAACCCGAGTTGGTGCGGCTTGCCGAAGAGTGCGCCATGAGGACACCTGACGCATTTTTTCCCTGCTTCTTTGGCGGCAGAAAGAGCAGAGAGGGTTTCGAATTGAGGGCTGGGGTCTCAAGTTGGCGTTCTCATTCATGTCTGGAAGCCGGTGCTGGCAGCAAGGAAAGCTACCACGCTATTGATCTTCGATGTTCCCCACGCACGCCTGTGCTCAGCATTGGGAATGGCACTGTCAAGGAAATCGCACAGACTCACAAGTACCTTGGATTATCTTGGCTAGGGGGGCCTTGGCCTTGAATAGCTGGCGCGGTATCTCAATTGACACCACCATGTGAAGCTGTTGAGGACCCTGTGTAGGGCCATCCTTGTCCCTAGCTTCGAGGTGTGGCGGAATCCATGCTGCAAATCTGGCAAAGTGGAATTCCGTTTCCGTGCCGGAGCTGCAGGGTGGAGATGGGCGGAGGGTGGAGTGGAGGGTGGAGTGAAAGGTTGGAGTGGAGGGTGGAGTTGATGCTGATGCCAGGCTCCTCAGCACCTGCAAGGATCGGTGGCGTTCGTAACATCGCTCGTGCTGGAATCTTCTGCTAGAGCTCGCGAAGCGGATAATGACTGTCACTTCATTACGAAACGAAAGCCGATGCTTCGATGCAAAGGTGATCTTGGAATCTGGCATCATCGTGGAGTACCTTCACACTCTTGCTGAAACAGCACGTGTGCAGGCTCTTTCCGTTTTTTCCCTCCGCAACACTTTTCTTGGGGTGTCGCAGTTCGGTGAAGGGCTCTTTTCCTCTCTTGGACAGGTTGGCGAGATGGTGAGGCGTGGGCAGGTTCTATGTGAGTCTGGCGATATTGGCTTCGCGCCGGAGCCGTCGCATGGCTTCAGCTTCGCCCCATGCTGTGATTGCTGTGTTTCTTGAGTTTAAGGGTGTTTAGGGCCTTCCTGATCCTTCCTGCGTTCAGTGCCATCAACTTCTTGTCGCTGCTTCAGGGAAGTATTTCAGGGGTCCAGCCGAGATCCGGAGCTGAGGCACCTCCACGTGGAGTTGCACAGCGCTGCGGATCCGGATGGATCTTCGTTGCCTCTACACTTTGGCCGGGAGCGCTTCTAAGCAGCAGCCATCAAGGAAAGTATTTTCTGAAGTTTGTGGGTTTTGAGGGCGCTGCCGCGCTGAGTCAGACAGCCAAGATTGCCATAGGATTTCTCCCCTGGGAGGCTTTGTCCCCGTAGCAGGCCGCTGGTACAACTCTGCTGGGGAGGCACACGGGTTCAACAAAGCGCAGGTTCATGTTGAGTTGCAATGAGGCCCAGGTGCCTGCATCTCTGCTGCCTTGAGCCGAAGGCAGAGGCACCACCCGATGCCGCCCCGATGCCGGTGCTGCGGCCGAGCGGAGGCTCGACTCCAGAGTGAATTGGTGCCCTTTCTGGACTTAGGCATGGATTCATTGTTGTGCTGAGACAGATTGCATGCCAGAGACCATAGTTGCATCAGCTGCCGGGTGAGGGTACGTGTAGGAGAGACCTCGCTTGCAGTGGGAGGCGAAGAGCCCAGGACAATGGCACGTGCGCTCTTTCAAGCACTCTTGTGGTTTGAGATGCCGTCTTACACCTAAAGATGTGTCGCCCTTCACATCTGCACATAGACTCTCTCAAACCCTGAAGCCAAGGCCTAGGAATGCCTAGGAATGCCTGGGGCCTCGGAATGCCGAGGAATGCCTAGGAACGCCTCGGAATTCCGGTGTGCTTGCTAGTTGGCCTTCCAATTTGCCAGGCGTGGTGTCGAAGTCACGCCGCCGCCTCCAACGCCTCGAGCGCTTGAGGCAGCGCGCCAGGAGCTGGGCGGGGTGCGAGTGATTGGATACGGGCGGAGCAAGGGTAGAGCTACGAGAACAAGAAGAACATGAATAAGCACTGGTATTGGGAAAGCTGCTTGTTTTCTGCCGTCATCACTGAAAGCTGCTCTTGGTGTTCTTTTCGCGCCGAAGGTCGCTCAAGACACGAGCCTGAACTGAACGAAGCTGATGTTCTAACATGGTATAGATCACGTGCGCACCCGTTCAAGTCGAATCGCAGCTGCGATGGTCACGATGATCTTCGGAAGGGTAGTTTGCAGGGCTTAATGCTGGCGGAGGACTGGCGGGGCGCGGGCTTCGCAGAGCGGTGTGTGGGGCCCAGCTCGGCATACGCCCTTTAAACAGACCGGGTGCGTGGTGAGGGAGTGTGATCTGCTGGAATCCTCAAGCATCTCGCAAAGACAGGGTTAAGGGTGTCGGTTGAGACACCGACTGCCATGGCAACTGGAGGCTCGAGGCTTTTTGCCTCACTCCAGGGGGGGCGCGCCTCGAATCTTGAAGTAAAGTCTTAAGACCTGATCCTCTGATGTGGCGCGATCTTCTTGGCCGAGGCTGTCCCAAGAACTGGCGAGTAGCAGAAAATGGCACTTGCGCAGGGCTTCTGGCTGTACGTTCCTCAGACTCTTCAAATTCCAGACATGGCTTCACATAGCGCCCTTCTTCAGACCATGAGCCGAAAGGACTTGCAATAAACTTGCGTAGGATCACCTGCGTGCTCTGCATACTCGATGATTGTCACCCTTGATAGCATCACGGCAGCTGCGGACGTCTCAAGCTTGCGTGGCGCATGAACATCCATGCGGCCCACCGGCCCCATGCAGAGTTTTCGCACTCGAGCATGTTTCACGCACAGTGCTGGCAGAACGGCCAGCAGCACCCGATGGTATTGAACATTACCAGTTGCGCATTTTTCCAGAATCCAGCCTTTTTCTTGCCGTGAGCGGCATGGTTATCGTCCGGAGCTCGGCAATTTCTTGGTGGATTGCCCGAGATTCAATGTTGCGCACCAAACATGTACAGGACGGCATGCCTGAGCACAAGCAAGACCAGACAGCATGCCCTTGCACTCGTCACTGCTGAAAAACCTTCTTCAGCCATCATAAAAACTATGCCGGCGTAGACCCCAAACAGTGAGGAGAGCCAGAAAAGGCCAAAGAAGGCCAGAAGAGCACCGACACTCCCGGGGACAAAAAGTACAAAAGTTCGTGGGGGGTCGAATTCCCTTGGGGGTCAAAAAGACGCCAACCACTGGGGGATTCGCTTTGCACGCGTGTGGAACTTGGGGGCCAAAAGACCCAGCTGATGCTCATGATGCTCAACCCCAAAATCGCTACCCCGTAATACTAACCCCCGGCACCCAGCCGCAGGGTTGACCCTAAACCCTAAACCCCCCCTAAACCCTGTGTTTTTATTGATTCTGCCCCCAGGTGGTCTCACCGCGCGGACCGTTGCGGTCGGCAGAGGCCTGAAGAGGCCACGAGAGGCCGGAATTCGCGCAAAACCACAGCGGGAGCATCGAAACGCAACGGAATTCGCGCGAAACCAGAGCGGAAACCAAGGCCCCGTCCCACCGCGCGCGCCGTTGCGGTCGGCAACCTAAGTAGCCCCCCCAGAAGAGGCCTGAAGAGGCCACGAGAGGCCGGAATTCGCGCAAAACCACAGCGGGAGCATCGAAGTGCAACGGAATTTGCGCGAAACCACAGCGGCAGCATCGAAACGCAAGAATTCGCGCGAAGCCACAGCGGGAGCATCGAAACCAAGGCCCCGTCCCACCGCCGCGCGCGCCGTTGCGGTCAGCAACCAATTCCTTTACTCTGAACGTAAGAACCCCATCGTGCAAGCACTGTTTGGGGAAAAAACACAAAGTTTGTTGCAAATGTGCCAAGCCTGAACTCAGGGCCCTGGCTTTCACTCATTTTTGAGGCAGGTGAGTGAGCGATGAGGAACGGCTTTGTGGATCCGAGCCTCTAAGTCAACCCCTTCTTGCGAGCGATGCCTCATGTCCGTGATGTGATTTTGCTCTTGCAGGGACAATGCAAGCCTACGTGCGCAACATGCGCTTCAACAAGTGCAGGCATTCCGTACCAACACCTCACTCAAGATGTGAAACCCGGTTTTCGCGCGCGCACACACACACACACACTCACTGTCTACTCAAAGTGGCCAATTGAAGTTGCCTGAATACAGGGGCGTGCGCATGCGTTCGTGCATGGGTGGGAGGGTTGGTGGGTGGGTGGGTGGGTGTGTGTGTGTGAGAGAGAGTACGGCAGACGGCAGATCGCTTGCATCCACACCAAGCGGCACTATGCAGCATACACAAGCACCGCCGGCACACAAACTGCGCAGCTCAGTTCGCACAAGTCTCCACCCATGAGGTGACCGTGCAGTTCTGCGCGGAGGGCCAGCGATGGCAACGCGACTTCGAGGTGGACTCGGACGCGACGATTCGTGCGCTGAAGGACAGCTCTCAAATTTCGAGATTTGTGGAGATTTTGTGGAGAACGGCGTGGGTCGTCTGATGCATCCCGAGACCTCCCACCACTGTTCCCGTGTTTAAGTTCTTCTTGCAGGAGTCCATGCTTAATCCCCGCGGTGGCGAGGAGGACACCCAAGTCGAAGTGTTGAGCCTGGTACGGAGTTCTCCGCCGATGTAGCTGAATAACGTTAGGTTCGCACATGGCTAGACATACTTCAAGCGACTTTGACTGCATTCGCTCGTCGCTGCAAGTCGTGACAGTGGCTATCAGCGCTTGAAGTTTCCGCATGCGCATGTGCAAGTGGAGTGTTGAGTGCGGTCAGGACATCGACGCCTTTGAGCTGAGGTCACGGGTCGAGAAAAAGCATGCTTTTACATGTTTTTCCATGTTTTCAGGAAAGGTGCAGGAGCCGGAGGGCCTTCAGGTCCTGTGCAGCTTTCGTTGGGCACTGTTCTGCCAGGCTGCGTGGACGCCGGGTTCCAGACTTTGAGAAGATCTGCCAGGATCCCTTGGTTTTGCAATGCTGGGGCAGTGGCCCTTCAAGACAAATCAAGATCGTCTGAGAGGACTGTACTCTGGACTTCGAGTACCTAGGAGTGTCTGAAGGTACGCGGAAGGCCCCCGAGTGATGGCAAATTTGACAGAAGGGTTTAGGGTTTAGGGTTTGGATGCGTAGTTACAGTAATTTCATCGCTAACGCGAGGCCGCCTCGGGGGAAAGGCGGCATGCCTGTCCCGCAACAAGCGCAGGGGGGGTGGGGGTGGGGGGGCGTGGGGTGGGTTTTTGTTTTGGGGGTTGGGGGGGGGGAAGCGCTCACACTCTCGCTGCACCTGCCAGCTGCGTACAGGTTCGGTTTGAGGTGTAAAGTTGAAAGCTCGGGGGGGGCTCTTCGCGCGGTGTCAGGGGTGGGGGTGGGGCGGATGGGGTGGGGGGGGTGTAGGGCTTCGGGCTTCGTGCTTCGGGCTTAGGGCTTAGGGCTTAGGGCTTCGGGCTTCGGGCATAGGAGCTTAGGGCTTAGGGCTCAGGGCTCAGGGCTCAGGGCTTAGGGCTCAAGGCTAGGGAGGGCTTAGGGCTCAGGGCTGAGGGCTTAGAGCTTGGGGCTTTGGGCTTCGGGCTAGGGCTTGCTTAGCCCCCTTGCGTTTTTGGGCTTCGGGCCTCGGGCTTAGGGCTGAGCACTTAGGGCTTAGGGCTTAGGGCTTGAGGGTTTTGGGCTTAATTAGGGCTAAGGGCTGTTTGGAGCGTAGGACTTTAGACCTCAGAGCGTAGCCACACGGCTGGGCTTCTGGCTTCGGGCTTAGGGCTTCGGGCTTCGGGCTTAGGGCTTAGGGCTTGGGGCTTGGGGCTCAGGGGTTGGGCTTAGGGCAAGGCTTCGGGCGAAGAGGGGGGGGGGTTGCAAGTGACTCGGGCAGGCACGGCTAGATCGTCAAGATGAACCGAGATGGGATATGCTCCAGCTCCCGCAGCAGGAGAGCGTGCGGTTCCACCGTGGGATACAAGCACTTCCTTAGGTTCTCTGCTGTTCCTGAGATGCCACGGGTACCGTCTCTACAGTCACTGGCCATCGATCTGATCTGTGCTGGTGCCTCGAAATTCCTTGCAAAGAATGGGAGATATGATTTCCGGAAGCCAGGAGCCACCCGAACGCATCCGACCCCGCTCAGTACCAGCAACGAGGAAGAGCGACAGCTCTTCCGTGTGAGCCTGAGTCAATGTCAGCCGGATTCACAAGGTGACTTGGGCCACATACATGCAGAGGTCGTTTTATGTGGCCAGGGTTGCCACTGATCATGGTGCAGAGGTATGACTATAGACCTCTCTAGTGTCAGAGCTTGTCAGAGTGCCTGACTTCCTTCTTCAGCCAGGGGCTAGCTTGTTGGTGAGTGTTTGAGGTGCGTAGTGAACCTTCTGAAGAGGCCGCTCAGTGCAAAGGTTCTGCAGCCAGGTAGTCAACAACGGTGCTGTGCCGGGAAAACACGGTCGTGATAACGTGCCTTTGCCAGTCCTTCTTCCGAGCTACGCCGGCTCCTCGCCCGGCAGGAGCAGCTCGCAAGGTAAGGGAAGTTGCTTGCCAAGAGCTCGCGGAGCTGTTGCACTCTTTACGACACAGGGCCCAGCGGCTGCGGTGAAGCGCTGGGAAGTGGTGGGCGGCTCTGACAAGGGAGGCTCGTGGCCACGGCTGCAACATGCTTCCTGGATTTTTGGTGCCGCAGACAGACGCTTGTTTGGCGCTGCCTGCAGGCATCCTGGTACGAGAAGGGCAGTCGACCACCTCCAAGCAGCTTACAGACCGCTTGTCCACAGGCGCGAGAGATCTTTGATGCTGCTGTTAGGCAAATACGTCGTGCACAGCCTGTGTCCTGAAGACCAGCCTAAATCCTCTCCGAGAGTTGAAAGGTTGCGTTGAAGCCGGAGGTGTCGCAGGAAAACCTTCGTCTCCATAGGATGCCGTAGATTAGTTGCACCTCGTTTGCCATGTTCGGTCCCCAAGGTGCAGCTCAATAGAGGGCACAGGACAACACACGACAAGTCAACACAGCATCGCGGAGCTGCGTCTGCACTTGTTTGTGAACGGCCTGCTACAGTTTTGTCAGAGCAGGTGCTTTCATTGAAGAGCTCGACTTGCGAGGAGAGCGGCTCCAGTTCAAGAGGCATCGTGTCATCGATGTCCATGTCTGCAGATCTGGGTGTTCTTCAAGTGCTCACTACAATGAAGAAGAATGTCGTAAGGAGCCAACCTTTGCAAGTTCTTGGGTTCTGGTACATAAGGCCAATAAACCATGACTATTCTTGGGCCCTGAGCTTCAGTCGCTTTAGTCCCTTTGCTGCAGGCTGAGTGGGACTGGACCGGAGACAGGCCATCTGCATGTTTCTTTGGGAGGATGGCTCTTCAACCCGCCACCTCTGTGGTGTGGTTGTGGGCTGCTTTTGGGGCTTCAGGTTTTTGAGGTTTAAGGTTAGGGCTCTAGGGTTTTCCGGTTGTAGGGCTTAGGGCTGTAGGGTAGGGTTTCAGGATTTTAAGGGTTTGGGGTTTAAGGGTTCTAGTGTTTTGGGGTTCCAGGTTTTCAGGGCTGCTCGTTGCAGGGCTTAAGGTTTAGGCCTCTTCGTCGGTGCTTTGGGATGCTGGGGGCTTCCCGCCTTGCTCTCTTTTGTTTTTAGATTCATTGTTCCACTTTGGCAAGTTTATGTCTTGCTCTGAAGCATATTCAGTTGCGTCGAGGTTCGTGCTTTGGGATTTGGGGGACCCCATGTCTTGGGCCTGCTGAGGCCTCCTGAAGGCAAGCTTTCCCTTTCAAGATGGGGAGGGGTCTTGGAAGACTATTTGGCTTCTAAAATTGGAAAATGCCGCGGGGTCCCTGTGAGCTTCCAACAGCCTCTTACTCCAGAAGGTTCAAAGGGTCTGAATCTTCTCACCCTCAGCATGCAAACTTGGGGAACCACAGGACCGCTCGAACCCGCGACAAACGACAAACATTGTTAACGTACAGAAAACGAAGCCCGAAATCAAGACCATTTTGAATGCAAACTTTGCGTTTCAAGAGGGGTCAGAGTATTAGCCAACGGGGGTCCTTAGAGTTTTTTTCATTTTGTCTTTGAAATATAAAGCTGATGAGGGCCACGAACCCGAATGCGGACATGTGTGAGAGTGTGTGCGCGTACTCGGCGAACAAAAGAGGCGTGGTGCGCGACACGAGATCCGTAGTGAAGTGTCGTGTTCGTCTCTTCCCTTTTCACTCGTTGTGTTTTTCCTGTTTTTTCTATTTTTTTTCTCTCTCTCTTTCTCTCCCTCTTGTATCTCTTTATCTCTCTCTCTCTCTCTTACTATGTCTGTCTCACCCTCTCCCTCTGTCTCACATATCTCTCTCTCCCTTACTTCCCCCTCATCTCTCTCTCATCTTGATCTCACCTCTCATCTCTCTGGTCATTTCTCTCTCTCTCTCTCTCTCCCCCTCATGTCTCTCTCATTTCGCTCGCTCTCTCTCTCATCTCTCGCCTTCTTCTCCGTCTATGTCATCTCTCAAACTCCTCTCTCTCTCTCTCTCCTCTCTCTCCTCTCTCTCCTCTCTCTCCTCTCTCTCCTCTCTCTCGTCTCTCTCCTCTCTCTCGTCTCTCTCGTCTCTCTTTCATTTCTTTCTCTCATCCTTCAGGGGTTCAGTTAATGCTTATGGCTTCAGTCCCTGGAACTCGATGAGGGGGGGTGGGTCGAGCAGTGCCTTCGGCATTTTCCAATCCCCCCTCCCCGTGCCCTACACAAAAGAGCAACACAGAAGCTAATTCCCGCAAGTCCGTACACAACTGTGAGTTCCTTGTTGTTAAGCATTGCTTGCGCTTCTAGTGCCCACTTTTGTTGCCAGGTTGGGTTAGCCTGGAGCCGAGCAAGAGCTAGCTTTGAAAGATGAAGGGATGATGGAGGGATCTGTTCAGGGATACTTCAGGGCAATGTGCTTTTGTCATGTTTGATGGTTTTTGTTTTGGGTTTGGCTTTCAAAGCAGATGCACAGCCAGTACAGCACGAGCGAGGGCACCCATTGTGACAAGTCCCGGTTCCTAGTCGGTCGTGAAATTTAATCATGTTGGACGTTCTGGACCGAGGTCTGAGTGTCTCTGGCAAGGACTGGTGGAGAAGCAGCAGTTTTCCGATTCTGTTTCCGGTGGGTTGCAAAACCAGCAGGAGCTCGTGCGACCCAAGCAGATGTCTCCACAAGAGATGCTCACGACCCTGCCTGAGCCAATTCGCAAAACAATGCTGCCTCGGTGTATGCTGGAGTCCACGAGCCCTGACTAACCATGCTTGCAACCGTTTGCCCAAACAGAGCTCCTGAGGCTGGACAGCGCTCTTTCTTTGCAAGAAGAGCTGATGGAGGGCTTTGGGAAGTGGGCACCTCATCCCGGCCTTCTGGTGCAAAGTCTGCAAGAGCTGTGCCCATGATTCTGCCTAGGCCTGAATTCCAGCGGTCGCTGGCGCAGCTCGTTCGTGCGTAGCTTGACTGCCGCACACACCGCCGCTGTCCGCGAAGAAGCTTGGTTCTCTCTTTGGAAGAACCAAACCAAGGCACCCCACGAAAACGGGCAGCGAGTTCTTGAAGAAGCGTGCAAGCCTCAGAGCCTGGCAGAACAACGAGTGTACTCAGTACTCTCTCAGGCGTTCAAGGTCTGGGTCTGTGGAGCCCTGTAAACACAACTTTTTATGGGGCATGTCGGTGAGGCACAGAGCTTTTCCTCTCCGTGCAGAGCGTGGTTCTCCCAAGGCCAGCATCGTAGTAGCGAGGCAGTAGTCTGGTTTCGGCAGGGCTCCATCAATACCCGGTGAGACATGTGACGTGGAGGTACGGCTTCGAGGGCTCGCCAAAGGCTTGGGGAGAGCATCAGTGCACTGCATTCTGCGTGGAGTTGACCCAGCATCCTTCATCATGACAGGGCGTGGTTCAAATGATGGCGGCCTATGCACCCCATGGCCGTGCCCGCGGTGTGATGCATGCAACAGTACTAGCTTTCCGGATCCACCAGTTGCAGGGCCTTTCTGCTGCTTGTGGTAGTGCTCCTCCGGGCGGGGGTTTTGAGTCTAAGGTCACTGCCCAGAAGTGGGCTGGAACAACGATCAGCTGAATAAACTGCTGCAGATGTGAAGCGAAAACCGTTCGTTCTGGAATCGCTTTGTGATTTGGCATTGTCCACAGCTATGTGTGAACCAAGATACAATCTCACAGCTGCACATTCCATATCTGAAATCGAGATACCACCATCAGCACAGCAAAGGCAGAGCTACATTCAACTGATGTATCATGACTTGACTGTCAAGGGCTGCTGCACTGCCGCTTCCTCGCCATATTTTGCCATCTCCAGTTGGCACAGTTCGTCACTGATTCTCATGATTGGTGTTATTGTTCGAAATATGCTTGAGAGACACACATAGCACAACAGGTTGTTGTTGCCTCCCCCTGGCAGACCAAGGGCTCTCTTGCGGATCAACGCTTGTCGCCTTGAGGCACAAATAAGGCTTAGGTTCGAGGAATTTTGAGGGCCTTGGTAGGTGTTCGCACCGCCAAGCCTGGCGAGAGTGGCCATGGCCTTGCTCCGCGTATCTTCACAACTCGTGATCTTCGTGGCTTGTGCCTTGCGCAGCTTTGGGCTTGTAGAAGTCCACTGCGTGGGCAATCCGTGTTTTACTGCCTGAGTTCCAAGGGTGGCTTGCCACTCATCGCGGGGCTGCATGTCGTTTCAAGCCATCGGCGAGGCGTGGCAGCAGTTTTCACGTCAGCCTGTGACCTTAGACCGCATGTGATGCAGTTACGCTAAGGATGCCAACACTCCCTGCTACAAACGACAGCCTGGCGGAGCCACTACCCGATGATGCTTGCCTGATCTTGCCTGCCCACAGAAACCCTACATACAACTATTCTCAATGGGTCGTCGTTCAGATCCCAGATGCACGCATACACTCATGCACGCATGACCTCACTCGCGGGCACTCGTAGAGATGCATCAGAGCCTTTGGACTCTGATCCCTTCCTTATTCTTAGACTCATGAGGCAGCATTTGTATTGGATGATGGTGATGGTGTTGACCTCAAGCAGGCTATGGGTGTGACAGCGTGCGCATGCTGCACCGGATCCCTTGATTTGCGGTGACTGCAACATGTTCAAGTTGAAGCCAGGAGTCAGCACGACTGGATGTCATTGATCACCTTGTTCTGCGATGGGTCAGGCCGGTGAAAGCATCAGGATAGTAACCGTGCATCTGTATGAATTGGAAAATGGATGGTGTTTTGTTGAGTTGTTCTAGAGATTGACGAAGCGAGGTGGATGGATAGCATGTCTCAGACAAAGCCGCCTGGCTGGTTTTCGTAGTGGTTGCGCTCAATCTGTGCCATCTCTTGCTTCGAAAGGTGGAAGGTTTTGACGGAGAGTTTCTTGCAGCCCGGGCATGGTCTTGGCATGCTTTGTTTGGCTGATTTGCAGACAAGGCTCGGCCAAATGGCAGTTCTGTTGGCAGCCTTCATTCTGCCAGTGGTGTTCGCGATGCTGCCAGTACTGCTCATGTACATGTTTCTGGAGAACCTGATTTGCAGAAGAGGGCTGCGAAAGTCAACTTTTCCTGAGAACGACAAGCCCTGGTTCCAGCATACTTGTAGCAGAATTGCAGCACACTGGGCATCAGTGACAATCCTTGAGCATCATTGAGCATCATTGATCATTGATCCTAAGGAAAGGAATGTTGATGGATGAAGCTCGTGGGCCTCGTCGACGTGCATCAGGCCTCGGAGCTCTTCGAAGCTGTTTAAAGCCATTTGCCTCTTTGTGCTCACTTTGAGGACATCGAAACAGGCATGTCACCTACAGCGTCACTGAAGAGGCAGTCGTTTCATCATGCAGCTGCAACGCAACCCGCAGTCAAGTGCAATAGCTTCTGGGCTTCGGTTGTCTCGGTCAGGGCGTTCATCCGATTCTTGTGTTCGCCACGTACGCCCGCAGCTCATGGGCGCGGACTTGACTGGCTTGTGAGATTCGAGAGGCTTCTCAGAGTCTGATGTCGCGATTCGACGATGAAAACAGCGATAGCCAGTTTTTCGTTGCACCAGAACCCAGGTCGCCGACTTCGCCACGCCAAGCACAGGAGCGTTCAGGATCCGCCTGTTGCACTTGACTGCTGGGCATGCGAGGGTGGGCAGCGCAGTTCGCTCAAGCATTCCTGCAATTTCTGTGCCCAGAAGCTGACCGATTCATTTAGATTTTGCTACTGTCCCATGGCTTGCATGTGTACATACAGTAGACAGCATGGCATGGCATGTAGTGGTACTGTATTGTTGAAACAGTCGACCATTTTTAACACCAATCTGTTCAGAGCAGAGTATATTGAGAACAAAGCTCCCGCAACTCAACATTGAGAGCCTTGTCAACGAAAGCTAACCGCCTAAAGAGCAGCCATTGAGAGCTTTGTCGCTGAAAGGCTGTTTCGCAAAGAAATGTACTTAGCCAATGCATCTCAAGTCCCCCACATTACTCCCTCCACTAGATGCCCTTCTTCCTGACACGAACAACATAATTGCATTGCAAGGTTGCAAACATTTCTGCATTGATACTTCTCCCTACAAACACAGATGCTAATTTTGATGGTACTGTAGGAGTGGCTATGCTTGGTTCCATGCGCTCAACCTCGTGCCTGCACGTTGCCAAACAATCTGAGGGCAAAGTATCAGACCCTGACACCACTTTGGAGGGAGCTGCCGGAGTTGCTGCACGACGCATCCATTGCGCAGCCTCCGCTACCTCAGGCGGGTCCTCTAATTATTGACAGATATGGTTTTGGGTCTGCTCCAGACTTGGCCAAGATGGGATGATGATGCAAAGGAGTTAGACGTGTAGCCAAAGTCAACATATCAGGATTCAGACACGCGCTGCTGTCTTTTTGAAGCCCCGGAGTTAGCTTAGCAGCTTCTGCACCAGAATCCATTGCCAAGACTTAGCTGGAGGCTAGCGCGGCTGCATGAACACTCCCTGGTTCCTGAGAAGAGCCCTCGCACTTCCTGCTGTGAGCCGTGCCTCTCCAGAAAAGGCGGCGAACCATCCTGGCCTGATAGGGTCACACAATCTTTAGCTGCTTTAGCGGTAACCTGGCAACCTTGTCTTGGGTTGAGGATGTACTCCCGTGGGATGTGATGTTGCTGCCTGCTCTGGGAGATCTCCGACAGAGCAACCTGCGAGTTTGTTTGGAGGACACCATCTTAAAACATTGCGCATCCATAACATATCATGGCTTTGTTGTTTGACTCGCTGTCTGTGCCCTTTGTCTGGTCAACAGTGTGACAGGGCGAGTTGACTCAAGCAGTGGCCAACGTCGCTGAATTCGAGACGAAATGATGCTCGCGCCGAGGAAAAAGATCTGCCAGCAATAGCGCCAGATTAACAGCTTTCTGGTTGAAGGAGAAGATTCTGGAGGATCCTGTTCCGTACAGATCCCTGGAAGCTGCATTGTCTTTAAGGGTGAGCACTTACACACGCACATTCCCTATTGCCCATTGGGAGCTGTATCAACTTCGAGGGTCGGCTCAAAGGCTGCGTTATCCGTTGCCGCGCTTGTTTTTTTTTTATGAATGTCCCTCTGCCTATTGCTCTGAGTCACTGAGTGCATGCCGCGCTTTGCTTCCGCTGGGTGCTGGCAGGAGAGGGAGGTGCTTTCAGAGAGTGCTTCTTTGGTCTCTTCAAAACAGACCTTGGACACCTTCGCGCTTCGCTCTGTTGTATATCAGTGTTGCTGGATCTACGTTGTGCAGAAATGTAGCACCCAAACCGCTAAGACATTCCCGACATGCACCCGCACCCTGAACCAAAGTCCGACCGTTTCCGGCGTCCTTTCATCCGAAACCATGTTCAGTGGCTTGAACGGATACATAGCTCACAGACCTTGAGAGGTTTGCCCGCACATATACATGTGAAGCACTCGCGTATCCTGTGCCAGAGCGTTTTTGCAAGCGCTGGACCGTTGGTCTATTGGTGTATAATGGTGTGCTTTCTGTTTGAGAAGTGCGCTATGCCCATTGCGGCCCATTACGCATGGCCCTTCATGCATGTGTCCTACGCATAAGAGATTGATAAGACCTGTCGAGATATGGGGACAACTAGCTCATTGTCAAAGTGTCGACCACCGGCGGAGGGCAGTGGAAATCGCATCACGTGGAGCGAGGCCGAAGCAGTGCGAAAGTATGCGAAAGTTGATCTTGATCAGTCAACGCATTGCAAATCCTGTGCATGCTATGACTGCTATGATATGGTATGATATTACAGATCACAGCTGCTCCCGATTTGTCAAGATTTCGGGCAGCGTGGTCGTCCTTCAGAAGTGTCTGCACTCGCTCTCGACTGTGTCACGTTCTCCTTGTTCTCTTGTATACTTGTCGGTAGACTATCATGTCGGCAAGGGGTGTCAGATGCGTGTGAGCAGAAAAAATCCAAGGTGTGAAGTCCATGCCGCCAACCTGAACTGAATGACCCAGGGGCAGAATATGCCAGAGCATGCCCCGACGGCTGGAAAAGTGTTTGATGCAAAGAAAGCCCTGGTCTGCAATGCGCTTATGCACGGAGTGGGTCGGTCTTGACCTCCACAAGCATGTTTCGTGCCAGTAGTACCAGATCTTGCTGTGCAAAATTCCAAAGTGGTCTTTTCCACGTTGATGCTGACTTAGGAGCTGCCTTTGCCCGCTGCGTCAAGCGATCGGCCCGCTTGAGTACTTATCTCAATCTACGAGACCCTCAAGGCAAGAACAAGGGTAAACAAGCAAATGTCTCTACTCAGTCACAGCCGGCCCGGAAAGCCTGTCCTCAGGCCCTTAGGACAGTTCACAAGCTCACTGTCCCTGAGCCCAGACTAGGCACGCCAACAAGACCCTGTACACCCCAAGCCTTGGCAACGCAAATGTGCCTAGGTTGACTCCACACAAGTGTGTTGCACTTCAAACTCTCAACTCACATGCAGAATGATTGCTTGGAGCCCTTGGTTTTAAACCTTTGTGCAAACCGAGTTGTCGCCACAATTGCCGTCACCTCGCGCAAGTGCAGAAACAACCCTGATTGCAGACCCTAAACTTTGACCAAGCCATAACTTCGAATAAATTCGGGGAATGCCCTCTACATCCCTGAACCCATAGCCTTCAACCCTTTGCCCTTCGCTTGGCCATGGGCTCCCTGCTTGCTTCGCTGGCTTTGGCCCCTTTGCCCCTGGTCCCGCTGGCGCGTGGCTGGCGATCGGAGTGCGACATCGAGGGTTTGGATGTGCAGGTGGGGGGAAATACGGGGGGACTCGCCTTCCGCTGGGCCCGCGTGCAGGGCTAGAATGGATGCATTGCACGAAGAGGATGTATGCCGAGCCCCTGCAGGTGCTCATTCATGGCATTGGAGAGCGGTCGGAGCCCGCCGCTCTCCACTTGTTCAGATCTTTTCCAGAAGCGATTCAACAGGGAGCCACTGCTGTAGCGAACTCTTTGCAAAGGCTTACCGAGACGTTGTGCGGTTGGTAGTAGCAGAGCTTGCGAACCGACCCTATGCTAAGCCCGAGTTGTGGCTGCTATCATGAGCTTGGCCTTGAGCCCTCGCCCAAGGACCGAAGTGTTTGCCGCGTTGCGTGGTTGGACCACCAGGACGGGATGGGGCACAATCATGGGCGGCACCAACATGAGAGAAGTCTTTCATGCCTTGGATGCAGAGTCAGGCAGGGCCACCCCTTCTTACCCAAGGCATACTCACAAAGCTGCCACTTTTTCTTGCTGGCACGCTTGCTTTCGAGCCCTGCGCGTAGGCCAGGTATGTTGCAAAGGCATCTGCGTAAGCACAGGTTGGCGTCTGCCTGTCACCGACCTAGGCCTATAGCCTCAGAGCACTTCGAAAGTCCAACACCAAACCTCTCCTTAGAATTCCCCATAATACCGCGGAGCAGTGCCTGAGGACCTGCAGCGCGTGAGTGCAGGGGATCTGCAAGGCCAGGAGCGGCTTTCTGATCTCAGGGAGCTACTCTGTAGGGGCCCTACTAGAGACACCCCCGCCCTTCTGCCACCTGTACTGTTTATCCGACACACCCCCCTCCATCCTCTGGGTTTCCAAGGCCTGAGCTTAGACACCCACATCTATGACACCAGACCCCCAAGCAATTGAGCCAGGAAGCTTGTCTTAAGAATGGACTTGCTGCTCCCTAAGTCGACTCGGGCTTGGGACTAGGATGCTGCAATGCTTGAGAAGTTTGGTCTGTATTGTGCCAAGGGCGTCAGTGAAAGTACTATCTTTCAGAGACATGCATGGATGATCTTGAAGGAGAGTAGTCACTGAAGACCAGCAAATCTGGGTTGGCTTTACCTCTTTCGGCGAGGCCTTCTGAAATATCTCTCTACCAAAAGAAGCCGATTTCAGGACAGGTCGATTACCTCTTCACAGACTCACGCTCCTACGTGCCCTTCCGTGGGCGTCATGGCTCGGCTGCCTGGCACAGATTCTTTCAGGTGTTCTCGCCGCAGTGTGGAGAGTGTGCAAGTGTGCAGTGTAGAGCAGTCGCATACGAGGGTGCCATGGGTCAGACCTAGGCTCAGTTCTTTCGAAAGTTGGCTAGGTTGCTAGGCAGCGCTAGGCTCAGACTGTGTTCGATGTGTGTCTAGCGCTTGGCTCCTTGATGACTCGCAGTGACGAGGTGCTGTACTTGGAGAATATCTCTGAGTTCCACGTGCCAGAAGATCTTGATCTCATCATGCAGGAAAAGACGCAGCTGCTCTCTGTGCTGATGCCACCGAGGGAGAGGCCTGAGCAATTGAACAAAGACTTGGGGGTGGGGGGGAGGATCATGTCAACACCTGAGATGTTTGGAAGCTCTCAGGTGGGAAAGCCCCCCCCCACCGCCCCCCCCCCCCACAGCCAATTTTTTTGCGCTCACCAACAACCAGACTTCCAGGGTCTCTCCCATGATGTGGTCCGTGAAGAGAACCTTCCCAACCACTTCTTTAGACCCCGTCACAAAACTTGGTCACATCCTATGCCGGGTACAAAGCACTGTTGAAGGCCAAGTCCCCTTTGCCCCTTTGTGTGCAGAGGTGGGACGAGGTGGCGGAGGAAATCTACCGCCAGGCCCCTTGGTTCATCTTCTGATCTCCTCATAGGAGTTTGAAGGTTGCACGTAGAGCTTTTGGCAGAGTCACACACACACACACACACCTTCCGGGTTGGTCGAGTCTGGCAACGAGAGTCGGAAAACGCGCTGCGTGATTATGTCAGAGAACACAGAGGCTTGGGTCGGAAAATGTTTCTGAGAGCTTAGTCGGAAAACTCGCACGTACGAGTGGGAAAGTCAAGATGGTTTTGAAGGCTTTAGGCTTTTAGGGTTGAGGGTTTTGGGTTTAGAGCTTCTAGGAATTAGGGCTTAGGGGTTGTAGGGGCTCAAGTCTTTAAAGCTCTAGGGGTTTGCAAGGTTCACTGATTTTCGGGAGTATGGTTCTGAGCATGTCGGGTCTCGGGTTTTTAGGGTATTTCACGGTTTTTGGCGTTCAGCTTCACAAGTCGGGGCTGTGCGTTCGGTTGAGGGTTTAGGGTTTGGAGCTTCTAGAGTGGAGTCTTTTTGGGTTTAGGGTTTGGCTGCCCCTCTTCCATGGAAGGCGACCGTTGTTATTCCGATAGGTAAAGTGGCATCTTTCAACCTTGCACTCCCTCCCGGCGTCGCTGTGAACCCGCCCAAAGCCTTCAACCTTTCAGGAGGTTTACGACATGAGACATGGGACAGCCAAAGTATTGGCCTTGAGGAGTTTGTTTGGGTTTTGGAGCCAGGGTTTTCAGCGTTTGGGGGTTTTTTGGGGATTCGGAGCGATGCTGCCATCAAAGTCCACGAGGGCATACAACTCGGTATGCCTTGCCTTGATTTATGCGAATTGTGTTAGGGCTTAGGCTTTTACGGTTTAGGACTTTTAGGGTTTAGGCTTTTCAGGCTTAGGACCTTGAGGGTTTGCGGTTTTTGGTTTAGGATTCTTGGGGTTTAGGGTCTTTTGTTTTTGGGTTTTCGGGTTTCGTGATTCTGGGATTGGTCGCTCTTGAATGGCCGCTTGCCCAACAGAAAACGCCAGGCACGCGGAGCTGCTGTTTGACAAAAGCACTTTGCAGAGCAAAGATGCCCAATACCGAAAGTGTAAGCCTAAACCCTGCAATCCTCAAAAAGCATCTTACTTCCGACGCCCACGCAGTTATTTACAGATTAGGGTTTCGGTCCGGCTTTCCAGCCATTTCGGACTCCGCCTTGGCATTTTCTGAGTCGCTGGACCGAACAAAGAAACGCCTGGGCGAACGAAATGATGAGAACGCGGCCGCGAACCAACTTGTGTAGCCAACGCTACCGTGGGCAAGTGCCTATGGAATTTTACAGCTGGGACGTGGCTCTTGATGCCAGTAGCTAGCAATCCCACTTCCATTAGCCTATAGTTCAACAAAGCCCCACAAGTCATGGTGGAACCTGCTGCGCTCTTCTACGCCACACGAAGCCCAACAGGCCATGGCCACGATACCGGACCATGTCTTCGTGGAGGATGGCAGCCTCCAGACCGAGGTGCCGACACGGAGACCAGGAAATCGCAACAGGGCGATGTAGCCAGGGTTGGGTTTGAACGCAAGATGTCGTGCGGGGAAGTCCCCCTGCCAGCTTGTTGAAGGCAGCAGCCTTCGAACGATATCGATTCTGCTGCTTATCCGGCAATTGGACACTGTGACACGCATGCTTGATACGGGCTTCTTCTCGTAGCAGCTAGTTCACAGTGAGGCTTCGTTTTCGGGCCTGCGTTCAGACATCGGCCCAGTCAGTCGACCATGGTATTAGAGTCGGAAGTTCAGGTATAATACCAGAAGAGGATAGCACTCGCAACGCTGTTTCTCCACTGTTTGTTCGAGACTGGGCTGCAAGTAGGACTGCGTCAATGCTGGAGGTCTGAGTCATGAGAGCCACCCATTGTGCTTTGCGTGCGTTTTCCTTTTCAGCGTGCAAGCTACCTTTCGGACCTGAGTACGAGACCTGACAAGAAGTTTTCACTTTCTGAGGTAGCTTAGCGCCCGGCACTTAGCCCGGCTTGTGCTGCTGCAAGCAATCCAAAGCATCAACGCCATTCACGCATGCGTCGTCGAGTGCCAACACATCCCAACACAGCTCTCCGCATAGTTTGAGGTACCACACCATTGCGGTCTTCAACGGTTTCGTGGAAGTGGGGCCGCGCTGCTGCACAGCCTGGTTTTCACCAGTTTCGAACTTTTAGCCCCGCCCGCCACCCCCCCCCCCCCCCGCGAAACAAAAACAAGTCTTCGAGTAAATTGCCTTGTTGGGCCTCCTCTCTTGTTTGCCATTTTATGGTTCTTCTTTGCAAATGAACTGCTCCATCTTGCACTGAAGTGCACTATTTTGCAACACATGGAAAGACCCTCGACAGATTCCAGAAGCATGTCTCCAGCAAACAAGGGGTTAGAGTTTAGGGTTTGGGGTTTAGGGTTTAGGGTTTAGGGGCTTCCGTCACGCCGTCGGAGCATATCCATTAGTGTGAAGGTATTGGTTGAGCTCACCTCCCCCGAGTCAAGCCGGAATTGAGCCTGCTGCTAGATAGTGAAGGAGCTCGCATCCAGCAACCGATAGCAGGTTGCTAGAATATGCTGGGGTAAGGCGGTGTGGCAGTTGGCGCAAGGCTGTCATTATAGTCTATAGGAATCATGGATGCTGTCAACACTGCATATTGCTGGCATGGCTGTGGACAAAAACATGCAACTCCTGAGGGTCAGTAGGCGGAAGCCCAGTCCCAATCGCGGGTCAGGAGCGACAGAGCAGCTAGATAGTTCCTTAAAGCAAGAGCTTAGCAACGCCCTGGCATCTGCCGGCCCACGAAGGGCAATGGTCTTCAACGCCATTGCGGACTACGATCCCGAACCCTTCAACATCATCGAGACGACGCCGGGTTTCACAGCAATGTGGTTCTTTTTGCGCCTTTTTGGTGAGAGCGTGGCTTTATTTGTCAGCGAAGTATGCTTCCCTTGCCTTGCATCGCCAGTGGCCCACCAGTTGCCATGTCAGGATTGAAACGTTGAACAGGCCACCGGGCTTGAGAAATTAGCGCTCATGTCGCCTGAAAGTGTGTCCTGTCAACATTCGTTGTAGTCCTGTCTGCTGCTTGTTCCAGCCACGGACACGGACGGTTTGACTTTTGTTCACCATGTTCAGTGGGCAGTGAAAAGCTGTGGTGTTTGATAGAGGAAGATATCGGCCTGTCTCAGGCATAACAAGCAACTGGGCGCGCTCTGGCACTATCAGCGCATCATCCAAGACCAGGCGTTTGGCGAGGGACGGGCTTCTTTCAGTTGAAAGATCCACTCAGCTGGAGCACATCCCAGGTGCAGTACAGCATCTTGGATGCAATTGCATCCAAATGTTCTTCAGTCCATGATGTCCATGCTTGCAGCTGAAGAGTTGCCTAGTTTAGGTCTTCTTTACTGGGTTCTGCTTGTTGTCTGCGAGCGAGGATACAACAGACCCTTCGAGGAGAAGCTGTATAGCCAAGCTTGTACAATGTGCAGGCTGCGAACATGTTCAGCTCTAGATGGTACTCTTCCGTCGTTGTCTTTGTATGATTTGACCATGACTCTGAGCATCTTCTGGTACTGCGCTTCCTATTCCCTCAACCCCCCCGGCCCCACTTCCCCAGCCCCTAAAGACCTCGTGACCGTTGCAGAACACTTGGGAGATCAGGCCTAGGATCCCTTTTCCGTAGGCCGCGAAGCTCTGTTGCCAGGTTGCTGGCAGATCTGCCCGGCAGCAAGCCTCCGCTGCTCAGGGAAATTAGAGTCAGAGTCTTCGATTTGTAGCCTGCACCTAGCTTCATCTTCTGGAGCTTTGTGTCGGGGGATGTTGTGCAAACCACCCGTTGCCATCTGTTGCCATCCGTCCACATCCTTTGCAACCGCCCTCCCCCCGCAACGAAGCCTACGGCCTAAATGTCTTAAACTCCAAAACTCACCTGTGCTCCGAACCACTTCAACCCCTAAACCCTAAACCTTGAAAGGTATCGAGCGCTTAAACATAAGACGGTCTCTGTGAAGCCGCCGAAGCGCGTCACCTCGCATCTGCATACTGCCGCCCAAATCCCACAAGTGTCCCGCAACAGGCTCGCAATTTATTTCAAGCAAGCACCGATGATGTCTTGCTCTAGCACAGGCTCGTGTTCGTTGGCATCTACTCTGCCCGCAAGAACTTCGAAAAGCGGCAAGCTGTCAGGGAGACGCCGCTGGAGTTTAGGGTTCAAGGATTACTAGTTCCTTGTCCGAATTCTACAAGCTCTTGGCGTGGGGATTCAAGACCTTCAACCCCCCAAGCCCCACAACTCCTGAAGCGGTGACAACTTCCTCCAACTCCTCCAAAATTTCGGGGCTTGGAGCCCGGCTCCAGGACACATGGGGCCGACTTCTGCGAGAACAGTTTGGCATCCGCTACCGCCTCCTTCCTGGAAGTGGTATGGGGTGCAGGAAACAGGGTGATTCTTGAATCAGAAGACTGAGGTGTGCGAATCAGAAAACATGGAATCCCAGATGAGGCCACGGAAGGTCCCGGTGGGAAAAACAGCTTCAAAAAACACGGAGGCGCGAATCAGGCCCGCAGTGAGAGAATAGTTTTCCAGCAATGCAATGACCACCGTGCTTTCTTTGAGACCTGTTTTTGCTCTGATTGAACGAATACAGTGGTATCTGTGCTTACTTCTTAAAATTGCTATCTTTGCTTCGGTCGTGCCGTCTTGACCCAAACTTTTTCCTTAATTCCTGCTGGGAGCGTCTGCTAGGATTCGCGTTTTTGGATTGGCGAAAGGGTGTGATATGGAGCTCTCGCGGGTCCAAAATGGAGGTTTTGGTGGCGACCGACCAATAAGCACCAAGCTTTGTGTGCCTGACTGCTTTCCCGGACTTTCCGGGAACTGATACGTAGCTTGTGCCTGAGTCCAGTTGCCGGAGTGCGTCAACTTGGGTTCTGTACTTACATTCCGAGGAGGGAACTATTGTTTCTGGGGGCTGGTGTGGAACATTTGCGGGGGCTGATTTGGAGCCTTTTGCTTTGCCTAAATCAAACTTTTTCTGTGTGCATCTGCTTGAACTTTCGAGCTAGTATTTCTCCGCAACTTCAAGCTTTTGGGTTTTCTGATTCAGTCCGAGTATTTTTGGATCGAGCCTGGGCCGTTTGTTGATTCAACTCGCCACGTATATTGATTCAGGCCCTCCGCAATCTGATTCAAGCTGTTGGTTGTGTTTTTTGGGTTGGCGGAAATTGATTCAGCCCTCAATGAGGGATGCTGAATGAAGGGCTGTGGGGTGGGAAAGTTTCTTGACAAGGCAACAAGGATTGAAAGGAGGTTGCAGAATCTGGACCTCTCCAGTTTGAAACCGAGCGAATTTCTGGAATGCTCACATCTTGTGAAATTCTGCATCGTAAGAGATTCACACCGAAGGAACTAGATCGAGACTCACATCCTGTGCCTCAAATCTTTGAAGCCGAGCACGCAATCAAGATAGTCAGCAGCAAACTTCCCAGATCCCATCAACAAACGCCCTAAGCTGAGTGGCCTCGCGACATTCTGGAACCCCCCCAAACAGCCCAACACCCCTCTATGAAGAGGCCCATGAGTTTGGAACTCGAGGCTTCTTCCTCGGCGAAGGCAGCGCTGGCGCCTCCACGGAGGACCCTCTGGGCCTACGGGGTAGGGCCTAGGGCCTAGGGCTACAGGAAGGCTGATGTAACGCGCATGCCGACTGCATGCCTGGGCTTTGGGTGGCTTAGATGCCGCAAGCCAGACTGCTGTATTGGCTGCGGTACCACATGGTACCACTACGTCACTAAGTGGCTGCCACCAGCCCGAAAGCTGCAAAGTGTTGCTGGTTTGCCATCAGTTCAACGGCTTGCCATTTGACGTTTGCCTTCCCTTGTCTACGGGGTCCTTTGAGCCAGGAGAGGCGGATGCGGCAAGAGCTCGACGATCACAACGACCTCGTCTTCCTGCCCGTCACGGAGGGCTATCGCATGAACTCCCGAAAGGCCAGGAGGGTCCAAAGGGAGGGGACAAGATCTGCCAGAAGGATTCATTCCAAGGGGTATGGCTTGGGCAGGGGCGCACGCAGCGATGATGCAGTTCTAACATGTTACGCAGATGGATCATGGTAAGTTGCTTATTCACAGTGTCTAGAGCCTATCCCCGGCATTAATCAAGGTCTGAATATTGCGCGTGATCTAGGAATTAGGCATATCAAGACGAAGAGCTGTTTTGCAACTTATGCGAGGGTTTGCTGTTCCTCGAGTGGATCGCGGAACGCGCCGAAGCAGAGTTTCTGCTCAAAACGGACGACGACGATGCCTGGCTGCGCTTTGAGCCTGAGGTCTCTACATCTGAGAACTTTGCCCAGAAGTCCTTGCCATGCTCTGAGGTCTATTTGCGCCCAGCGCCGCTCCTGAGGCAACTTGCCAACCGATCGAAGCACTCTAAACGTTGACCGTTGGACAGGCATTTGACAGGCCTTTGACAGGCCTCCCGAGACACTTCCCTTCTGTTTGCCGGTGTGCATTTGCGAGTCTTTTGCCCATGGTTTTAGATTCACTCGACATACTAGACTTGGAGGCCTGCAAAGGGACATCTGAGTCAGCAAGCCATCGGATATGGATCCTCTTGCGCAGGCAGCTGCGTAAGCGGATCCCAGCGCAGCAGCTCGCCAGAAGTTTGAATGCCGTGCATGTGAAGTCACCATGGGGGAGTTGAGACTGGCTCAGGGTTTAGCGCAGATCAGGGGAAGCATGGGAAGGGCCAAGGTATGCATGGGCAATTTTCGACTACATCAGTCCTGTACCCAGAGACGAAGATGATAACTTTTACAATGCGGAGGCTCGAGCTTTGGAGATGACCATTGCGTAGCCGCGTAGCCAAAAGCTGAGCCCAAAAGGGGACACAGAGAAGCTTGGGCCTTGGTCTCTCTGCTAGTTGGCGCCCCACTTAGGGCCCCACTTGCTCCCCGAAACCATCCCGAAACTTTCCAAACTCTCGACGTGTCGCAGCACTTAAGATCTTTCTGCGAACCTCTGGATGCCGGGTGCCAAACAGGAAGATTTTCCGTTCCCTGTCTTCCCGCCCTACCCGCGCGGCGTTGTGCGGGTACTCTCGATGGACGTTGTCCGCCTGCTGGCCAAAGCAAGCCAGGAGGCACGTGCGGGAAGCTTTCGGAGAAGTTCAAGGGCTTTTGTGAATGAGTGCGGCTTAAATCCCTTTGTGTGCTTCGAAAGCCTGAGGCGGGTCCTCGTAAAAACAACCCACGTTGCCAAGTTGCAATCCCTGCTGGTCAGGGCCGACTGCGAATGATCTACGGCCGCTGTGTCGCATACAGAGCTTGTGCTTCCAAGTATGTCCAGCTTGCCTGCTCATCGAACAAGCTCTCCAGCTTCCAGCTCAACGTGCCGAGAGTCTGATCTCATTTTTTCACTTTTCTTGCCTTTTGGCTCTTGAACTTTCACATCCCTCTGACTCCGCTGTCCCAGCGTGCGGCTCTCGTCAAGGTGACGACCCGTGCATCGGGGTCCACCTGCGCCAGCTCCTCTTCGATGCGAACGAGCCGCTGCCATCGCTGACGCTGGACCCCATGGCACGGCAACCTAAACCCCAAAAACCCCCAAAACCCCCCAAAAACCCCAACACCCCTAAACCCCTAAACCCCGAAACCCGAAAACCCCTAAACCCCTAAACCCTAAACTCCTAAACCCCTAAACCCCTAAACCCCTGAACCCCCAAACCCCATGGGTCCATGGCTTGAGGATGGGCCTCTCGAAGCCCGAAGGTGCCGAGGGATCCTTTCATCCACTCTGGCAAATACAGCTTGATCGGACGTCGGAATCGCGAACTTGCACGATAGGGGCCAAAAAACACATGAAACATAAGGATCTTACTATTGGGGTATAGGGCCCCCATAAGGGGGAAGTCTGGTAAACCGTGTTTGTAGCATCCTTATGTTTATGTGGTTTTTTGGCCCCCTATTCTGCGAGACCCCCTTCCAAAAACCAGTGTTGTGATCCTCGGTCAGCCGTTCCAGGACGATTTCGACAACAGGGTCTTTGCGATGGAGCCCAGCACCGGACTCATTGGATAGTGTGGCATTGCTTTTTTGTCTTCTCGCTCTCCCCAAATTAGTGCAGTATGTCCTGTTAGGTACAATTTCCTGTTGGCGCACCAAAGTGGCAAGAAGGACCGGGTATCATGTTCAGCTGAGGTTGTCACCACAACTTGTGGTCAAAGATGACAAACCGGACGTGGGCGATTCACCACGTGTCCCTGGGCTTGCAGCACTGACGGTAGTTCATTCATGCTTAACCCGCGTCGTACGTGTATCATTGCTGCTCTCCATTCGCTCCTACGAAACGAAGTGGTGCCTAGAGAACAAAGGAAGCCGGAACAGATCTTGTGTATGTGGTCTGCGGATTTGGCTGCTGGCTACTACGAGGACAGTGAAGCAGGTGCCCGTGCTACGCTAAGACCCTGGCGCCGGTTAGGGCAACAGCTTTGTTCAGGCGGTTTTAGGGTATTTGGGGTAGCATATGGCAGGAGGGTGATCGACATTACGGCATTAAGCGCCCTTGGTCTGAGCTTGAAAGGCTTTTCGGATTTGGATCGTCTGGATCCCGACACTCAAGTTCCAGCTCTTGCTGACAACCGTAGACGCCGTAGGATTCGATCCGACTGCCTTTGCTTCAGACGAATCAAAACTTGAGACATCTGAGGCTTTGTCATTAAGGTGGCTTTTTGACTTAAATCAGGGCCTGCTAAATTTGGTTCGTGCTGCAGTATCGCTGGCTGGGTTGAAGATTCTGCGATTCTGCGGTCGGTTGGATCAGGAGGCGGCAGCTCGCAACAAGGAACTTCGGTTGGAGCTTTCAAGGGCACCGCAGTTCCGAAATCAGGGTCAGCATGCGCATGCACGCACTGTCTTGCTTCGTTGTTGTGTTTTCTCGTGTCTCGCATGGGGGGCCTGAATCGGTGCAGGTCTGCGCATTGACGAGGATCGTGAGCTGAACGAGTTCCCGGATCTTTGCAGCTGTGCCACAGAGCTTCCTCTGAAGAAGCTGAGATAAGTCAAGGTCTTGGGGCTTGACGGCTTGAGGCCGAAGAACGATGTGTACCTTCCGAGGGCTCCTCGCAGCATAGAGGGCATAGTGTGGAAAGATGAAGAAAGTGTTCTCGAGTAAGACTTCCGAGGATGAGTCTTTCTTCGAGCGCAGTGACCTAGACAAGCTGCAAGAGGAGACGCAACGGGTGCTCGACGACGACGAGGACCATTGAGAGACGTTTTTGAGGGGACCTCTCCAACCTATTTCACGAGGATTTGAGGTTGTATCATCCTTGTGAGCGGCAGTGCGAGCTAGCTTCAAAATGTGCAAGCCCTTCGTTTGCATTTACCTCTCCTGCACCGCGGGTCGCGATCAGCTGCAAGGAGTGACAGCACGCACCGACTCTGCGAGCTCAGGGCGCAAAACAACTCAGAGGGGTCATCTTGTGGATTCGCTCGAAGTGAGATGGGTCGTTCAAACATAGCTTCCCTTATTTGGGGGAACTACGTAGTAAGGAGCCCAATTGCACCTTCTCTTCTCTCAACGTAGCCAAAGCAGCACTCTTGTTTTCTGATTTTTGTGGGGATCAATTGGGCAGGTGCATAAGCCTGCAGTGAAAAGGCTCAGAGCAAAGACGGAACGGACAACTGAACTTAAATAACTTTTAAGTGAATTGTCGGCCGGATGGACGAACAGAAGGATGGATTCGGTTCGATCTTCAGGCTGCAATATGCTGCAATCCTGAAACAAAATGTTCAGGGCTTTCGGGCTTCGATGCTTGATGCGTGGGGAGAGGGCCCCATTCTGTACAGGGTCCGCACAGCAGTGCTCGAAGTGAGAAAGCTAAAGACAACCATGCGACTGTTATGGTGTGACTCTGAGATACAGGGCTTCACAACAAGTTGGTCGGTGCTAATTTTTGAAACCCAAGCTACGGAGGCTCAAAGCCTTCACGGCTCTCTGTAGCGCGTTTATTGTTGCAGGCACCATACCAGACATGTGCAACAGGTTCAGGTGGCTTGTCGCACGACGCCCCTAGCAAGCTCAAGAAAAGTCCTGACTGATGACTTATTACAGAGAGATCCTAGAGGCCCAACAGCCCAAGCATCACTGAAGCTCTCCAAGTCCGGTCCCTGCGCTTTCAGCCATGTCGAAGGCAAATCTCCTTGAGATTTTCCGAAGTCTGTCCAATCTTGCTTGATGGTCAGGAGTTTGGTGCTGACAGTGCGGCACGGTGTTTGTTCATTCATGTGCATGCTCGTTGCAAACCATGCCGAAGTATGGAAGCTTTTGAGTGTGCCACAACGTGCTCCTAAATCTGTCGACGTCCTTGCATGAAGTCCGTTGCATGCACGGGATGCGCAGCCAGTGGCGCAACAACCGTAGTGGCAAGAAGAGTCAATGCAGGCAGTCATATGTCGCAGGTGTGGGAGTCCGCGAACAAGCCCAAGGGCGCTCGCAACCTCGATGATGAGATCAGGCCATGAGGGCGCATCTGGGGTTGACTATCCACGCCAGTATGCTTGTAGTGGGGATGGCAAGGACACTTTAGTTGTAGGTCGACTCTTGCAGACTTGCTGAAGGGATGCGGCAATCCCATACATGACGAGGCTGATGGCTGGCAGCATGCTGACGTACAGCACGCTTATGTCAGCGAACGAGGGGACGGAGACGCAGGCCTGGGCATGAGATTAGGTTTTCATGCCGTTCGGTGCACAGAGACGAAATGCCGAACGCATTCCCGAAGTCATTGCAACTGTGGCAGAAGAATTGTTTTCATAAGGCCATGAAGATCGTGGCGAGACGCCAGCGCGAGAAGCTGATGGGCTGCCTGATGCTGCCCTTGGCCTTCGTGTACTTTGTTCTGTTGCTTGCTGGCAAATTCCGGGCAAATGTGCACAAATGACATCCTGAGTTGGCCCTGGGAGGTTTTGCACTTCCATCATGTTGCACGAGGACGGGCTCAGACTTTGAATGGGGTTCTCTGTTGCGGCAGCGACATGCCCCAGAAAGCCTTGGGTGTTTTAGGCGAAACAGTCACGCCGCCAAAGGAACCTGAGATTTGGCAGAAGTGTTGCCGCTAGGTTGTGCGGTGGTCGTTGAGCCAGGCAACCGAAGCCCAACCAATCCCAACTTACTTCACGCCCCATAATTTTGGTCGCTCTTTGGTAGGGGGAGTGCCCTATAAGTCACCTTTGCCGGTTATTCAGGATAGTTTTTGCAGTGCCAGGTCCTTTGTTCCAAGATCGCCAGTCCCTTTGAGCATCAAGCTTAAACCTCAATCTTAACCCGCGCTCCTTCCTTTCCAAGACCTTGAAACCAGCAAACCAGCTGAAGTGAAACCAAGAAATATCCTTTTAACAATATCATATGAAGAATGGTCTCAGTCAGTCTGGCCATGGGGTGGTCCAGGAGTATAACGGTAAAGTTTAGGGGCTTGTTTTGTGCCAGACTCTTGAAACCTTAAGGCTCTTGTGAGCCTTGCAATCCCCATTCAGGTGGGGGAGGGGGAAGGGACTGTTAGAAATGATCCGCATGACATGGCATTCCGACTGTTCGGGCAGGGGGGTCGGGGTGGGGGGTGAGGAAGGCAAGCTGAAACTCTAGCTGGCACCGTAGGCAAGGGGTTCCCCTGAAAGATCCTTGCAAGCCAGGAAAGATCCACTTCCGGGATTCCCACCCCGAAAGCTTCACAGGACATCTCAGACGTGTACATGATTGAGTCAGAGCTTCGTGGGCAGATGGACGACATCTTCGGTGAGGTGGAGGCTTCCGTTCAAGGGCATGCAGCTGCACAAGTAGAGCTGTGACTTAAGCGCAAGGCGCTTGCTGCTCAGGTTTTCTGCTGTCGCTTGTCAAGGTTACGTGCCATTGTAGCTATGGCACCAGCCTGTGATTGCTGCGCGTACCTTGGCAGGACATGGACTCTCTTTGGGTGCCTCGTCTGGCAAGCCCTCGCGCCGTCTGCACACATGGTTCTTGCCGGTGGAAGCAGTGTAGTCGTGGCTGGAGCAGGTTCTGCACAGGCTTCATCTCCCAGTTCTGAAAACCTTGAACCCTAAGCCCCAAACCCTGTTGCTCGTGCTCTACTGCGTCCTAAGGATGCCATCCAGGGACCTTTCTCCGAAATTTTCTTCAAGCAGACTGAACTACGACTTCAATTCAGTTTGCTGTTGTTGTTGCGTTGAAATACAGCTCGGCGCGGTCAGCTGGCATGGGAGTGCAGAGCCACAGTCCTGTTGCACGCTCGGCTCGGCATTTTCTGTTCTTTTGCTCACAGACTACTGTATGTGGGCTGCACTTGGCTGGTCCAAGGATATGTACGGTCGTCCGCTCTCGAAGAACACGACAAATGACAAGTGGGGTGACTGGGGCCGGGTGCTTCGCTACAACCAGATCCAAGGCCGATCCCGCGCGATCCTCGCATGCTGCAGCAATGTAGGATGTAGAGTCATATATGCATTGCGATGACAAATGTCGAGCGTCGACTGGTGTCTAGCTCCGCAAAGCTTCACGACTGCTGTGATGCATGTAAACGCCGGCGAGAAGCAATCAGCACTTCAAACGACGTCAGAATGGCGCAGACCCATGTCAGAGCCGTTCTCAAGCATCCCAAGCTCGTGAGCATGGCCCTTCCTTGCCATGATTAGCTAAGAGGTCTGTGCCTGCTCTGGTCTAGCACACAAGATAAGCGTCTTTTCAAGATTCTCGCCTGGAGGCGCTCTCCGATTTCAGCAGACCAGCGCCTCATCCTTTATGGATGCATTGAGGTCTTTTGGGTTTTGGACTGGGGCCAGGCTAAGAAGGCTTGAGGATAGTTCACTCTGCTCGGCCTCGTTGACGTTGCGCCCCTCTCCGAAACTAGGAGTTCTAAGGAGCTAGCTTCTGCATACCACATGGGATGGAGGCACCGCGTCAGGTCACAGGAGGCCAGGCGCACTTCCTGCGTGAGTTGTGTTTTTTTCTGGTGCTACGGACCTTTCAGATTCTCGTCGTGTGAAACCTCGGAAGAAGGAGTGAAAGGTCGACTGCTTTTGCCCTCGCACCTGGAACTCAGGAAACGTGTCCGCAACCTATGGCAAGGCTTTTCAGTGCAACAGCGAGATTTCCTGCAGCTCGGATGCAAAGTGATACAAAGGCATAGAGGCGGTTGCAGCACATGGGCAAATTGTAGTCGAAATCCAGTGTCATCCATGGACTTACCTTCTGGGGTTCGCGGCTTATGCGTTGATTGTCACTGTACCTAGTTGTTCATCTTTCTTCAGCGGCGCTCCTCGGGCATGTTTTCAAAAGTGAGATGGTCACAAAATGTCACAAACAAGTTTTCGAGGTTTCCTGTGCCGATCGAACCGCGGCTTCCAGCCGGCCTACCTGAACCAGTGCCTTGCGAGACTTCAATGAGACATCTGCAACAGTGATGCGGGGTTTTGCCGTGTGTATATGCAATCACGAGTTTGCTGAGGGGGGGGAAGGGGTCGGAAGGGGTCAGAATGGCTCCGACGGCTCTCAGGCAGGGCAGCAGTGGCTTCGTGGTGGACTGCCTGGGGCTCAGTCTTGGGCAGCGGGCCACAGCGCACGGACATCGGCCATCGAGCTAAGCACTAGGCGCTGCCAACGAAATCCAAGTAATCTGAGGGTTCCCGCCTCAACATGAGACTCACCCGCTATGAAGGTCAATTCAGGTGCTGAGTTTCTTTTCTGTATCCATGTAACACTAATGAAGTGAAGCTTTCTCCTGAGGCGGCAACTGGACATCAACTCGGAGGTCCCGACCTCCACTTCTTCTGATGAGGGTCAATATGGATGTATATTACTGGTAGGGGTTTTAACTTGCATCGCTCGGTGTAAATACATATCGATCGGCGTCCCCACTGGGGTCTTGCAATTCCGCACAGGACCCGGCACTGCTGTCCAGTTTTCAGCTTATGCAGCGTCCACAATGGCGTCTGCCATGCAAACCGCCCCATGCCCATGGTCGGAGGAAGCGCCTGCGTCAAATCTCAGCGCCTGCGTTGAGGTTATGCATTTTGGAATAAGACCTGGCACTGATCCAAGCTGCCACCACGGCTTCAAGTTCGTTTAAGGCAGTTGGCAAGACGTTTCCGCTCTAGCTGGTCTAATACACTTTTTCTATATCAAAACCGGTCTCTGTCGCAGGGTTTGGTCCGCCAGACACATGTGCGGGTCTCAGGTGTCTAAGGCCATCAGAGGCTTCGAAGATCAACGTTCCGTATGTTGATAAACATCGAGCGTCTCCTTCGGGATTTGCTAGCAAAATGTATGCCGGATTGATGTAAAAATGGCTCGAAACATTGGCGTCCGCGAGGTTTGGTGGATTTTGCTGTCTCAGTGGCTGACAGCCGAAAACAGCGTTCACATTGCGGTTTCGTATCTTGTGATGTGTATTCTCTCGAGTGACGGGTGATTCTCTGCGTGAGCGTCCACATTGGGGTGATGTGTTTTTTCACGGCCTGATGTGTGAACTTTAACGCCCCCCCCAGCGGGTATCATTTCAGTATATTAGCGCAAACTAGGATATGCTTGGATGCTTCTGGCATCCCTAAAGCCACCGAGCCACCGAACTGCCGGTAAAGGTTCCTTGTAATCCCTTCTACAATGTGGTGCGCATGACGAAGAGCAAAATCAAAGAATCAAACAGGAAAATCGGCAACACTGGTAGGAGAGCTTGCCCTACAGACTCTAGATGAGTCGAAGGGCGTGGGCATAGAAACTTTGTGGCCTTGGTATTCCCCCGAAAGACAGCAATACACCGGAAACTGTGAATTTCGCAGACGAGGTGCGTGAAGGTTCAGGAAGCACGCAGACAGGGCTGTATGATTGCAGTTGCAATTCGTGTGAACGTAGTTGACGTCCATTTTCCCCGAAGCCATACAGGCTCGACGACATGGAGGAGAGCCTGCAGGAGGCAGCGCAGCTTGGCGCTTCCGACTTGCAGGGGTTTGGATTCATTGGCCCCCGAAACCTATGAAACCCATGAAGTCCCAGAAAAGACGCAGCTAAGCTCCAAAAAACCACATCCTTTTCACTCCATCTTGAGGCCTCCTTCCACTCGTTTTTCCAAGGCAAACGGGTCGAGCACTCTCGCAGCTTGCTCCGTCGATGCTGCTCCTCGGGGGCAAATGTGCAAGTCTGGCTCGGTGCTTTGGTGCTTACTTCGCCCATAGCCATCGCCTTGGTACTGGACACCACAGGGATGGCATCTCGAGGCTCAAGGCTTGTTTTTGGCGTCAGCATGTACGCCTCCCCCCTCCCTCTCCCCCCCCCCCCTGTGGTTCATGATGGGTTTTGGGCTCAGGGTTCAGGTTTCTCTGCCTACTAGTTCAATGCCAGGCTGTTGGGTTTAGAGTTTCCCATACATGGGCTCGACCTTGTTTGCCCCTGGCAGAGCAGACGCCTAGCATGCCCTTTACGCTAGGAGAGGCTGGATATTTCAGGCAGAGCTTCAGGGCCTGAGGTTCAGGGGCAAAAAGCATTGGAAAAGCTTGTGTAAGCATCGCGCCCCAACCCGAGGACTTCGCTGCCCAGAGAGAAGACGGACGAGATGCACGTCTTCAGGCCCTTTGTGAAAGCCAATGTGCGAGGAACAGTAGCCTTCATGGCTCTTTCAACTCGACTGAACATGGACTTGCGGAACGAGGTCATGAACCCTAACCTCCTCCAAAAGCCGTCTAAATCACCCCACAAACGCCCTTGCACACAATCCTCTTAAGGCATGGCCTAAGGCTCGGCCGAGCATCTAGTCCCATAGTGCGAGAGGTGGGGCGGAAGGCAGCAGCAGCATTTCCACAAAAGTTGCTTGCATTTGGCGTTCTACTGTACCGGGAGAGCTCGCTCGCTCTCTCGCTCTCTCTCTCTCCCTGTCTCTCTCTCTCTCTCTCTGTCTCTCTCTGTCTCTCTCTCTCTCTCCCCCTCTCTCTCTGTGTCCGTTTGAGGGGTCCGTATCTTATCTGGGAGCTGACGATGCATACAGGTTCTACCTATATCCATCCGAGTCGCTCTCGAGAACAATGGAGCGGCTGCAGTACTTCCGCAACCGCGTGTGGCTGGACAAGGACTGCATCTGCACATGTCGTCTGCCTGCATTCTCGGATCTCAGTCATCGGTAAACAAGCATCGAGACAGTGATGCGTAGCGATGTGCCTCCAGGATTCCGAAGTTCTGCAGATCCGCCGCCTATGCATAATTCATCATTAGAGGTTTCGCGACGTATGGGTACGTTGAAACCGGGGGGGGGGGGGGGGGTGGGGTGTTGTTCCAGGGTTTTGAGCAGCTTCTAGAAGAACCAGCCACCAAGTCCCAACCCCCGTCCTAAACTTTCAACCGACAGAGGCAAGCGAGGCAACTGCACTCTTTCAGACTTCGTTGTGTCCATCTCAGGCCTTTACCTGCTCAACCCAGAGCTGGGCCAGCCCAACATGGAGCAGGCAAGGGCTCCAAAGGGCTCTGTGTTCGGTCCTCCCCAGTGTGCACTCTCCATATTCTCCATAAACCGGATCACCAAACAGGTAACCCTGACCTTCTTCATGACTGCCGGTGGAAGTGACTCGGTGGATCCTCGGGGGCTTTGCCGGTTTGGGGTCGGCTCATTGCCAGGGTTGCATCTTGCGTGAAGGCCATTGGTCTCGGTGTTGGTGAGCGGTTTGGGTTAAAGATGCCATTCTGTGTGTGTTGGACTCAGGTATCTACTACAGACGCGACTTCCAAGCCATCTTCTTCGAGATCTTTCCGAACATGGCGTGCATGGTGGGCGACAATACCCCTAGACGCAGAACCCTAAAAAAGCTGAAACCGCATGTGCCGAACGAAGCGGCCGCGGAATGATGTGATGCCAGCAAGAGTATCGAGGTGTCATCATCATCCCACCTGCCTGTGACACCTTCAGACAAAGACCCACACGCGAGCATGGAGTTGCGTAACAGAAGCACGCCACGAACATCACGAAGCATGTCCTGAGCAAACATCATCGTCGGTGCTGGTAAAGAGTAGCGGTCGTTCTCCGTTGTGATGACATCAACATCGAACAAGCTGAGAACCACCATGGCATCGGGACATTGAGAAAAAGGATCTTCACAACCCCTCAGGTGGCGGACGGCCTGTTCTTCTGTGTTCTCGTTTTCACAGGCACCGGCCTTGGCAATTCCTGGGTCAATTTTGCGCATTCGCAACACTTGCAGGCCCTAAGCTGCAGGCCCTAAGCCCGTGCGCTGAACCGCCCTTTACCACTGGCTTGTCTCATGCAAAAGCCGAGTAAAATGACAGCCCAAACCACTCAGATTTTTTGACCTTCAGCCTTGCTTCACTCCCATCCCACCTCCAAGTTCGCAGGCGCATTGCAAGTGGTCGTTCTCTGGCGGGTCGCCCGGGAACGCAAGCTGTTGGAGTACCTTTTGGACATCAGGCACGGGATGGTGTGGAATTTGGTGGAGTTTTGCGGCGTTGTGCTTCGCTTCGCTTTGCTTTGCAGGTCACTCCTGGAGTTGACCGTTGTCATCGTTGGCCTGTACTTCTGCCGACGGGCTTTGAATACAGAAGACTTCCGCTAAAATGTTCTGAAATTCATGTACGGGGCCGAAGTGAGCACATGGAGCCCCTGCTTTCGAGAGTTTCGCTTTGTGAATAGGAATGCATGAGTTTTGCAACAAGGGGCCGGGGAGGGCTTCTTTGCTCCAGCTAGTTCTGACTCAGGCTACCAGTTCTATGCGGTCTTCCTGACCAAGGACCGATTTTTCTTAACCCCTTCATCCAAACTGACGCTCAAAGCACCACAGCTCGTTATCGGCCCATTCTGATGAGAATCCCACGGGCACAGGCCTGCGCTTGGCTCCGCACGACTGAGCAGCATGCAGCAACTCACCAGGAGAAGACGACGGACATCGTCAGTCAGATTCGCGCCAAGGGTTGGGACATCAGCGACGCTGACCAAGCTGTGCCATGCTTTGCATGACATCCCTACAAAAAGCGTTTGAGAAAACGTGCACAGGCTGGTTCAAAGATTGATCTGCCACAAAGTTAATGCTATGCAGATTTCATTCATGGATTGTGGTGTGGCTTTTTCAGTCGCTCAGGCGCTGGAGGATCTGTTTGACATTGGCGGTGGGCCTAGTGTGTCAGTGTGCATTGGAAGGGCAGGTGTGAAAGCAGACGGGGAGACAAAGGCCTGACGTAGCTTGTGGACTCTGGAGAGAGCTATTCTGGTGGCAAATTTTCGAGGGCCAACACCCTCAGAAATCTTTCGGCGGCGCCAAGGTGACGATGCGGCGGGGGACATCCTCAGCCTCCGTCTGCTAGCCGCCAACTACACGCTGATCCTCACGCCCCCATAGCAGCAGAGAGAGGGTCCCAGACCATGCATTTGGATTTGCCGTCAGCAAAATATGAGAGGGGTATCTGGAGCGGGCCTTTTTGTATGATTCAAGTCTCATGGTCTGCCGATACCGTCTCACGCCCCACCTCTCCAGAGCCGAAGCCCAACTGAGTTTCCGCTTCTTTGCCAACTTCCGGGCGCAGCCACAGCTGGCCATTATCACGAAGACCCTGGGTGCGCTGATCGTGGTTCCTTGGCTGGTGAAGGTGTTTTTGCCGGAAGGGTTCGCTGCAAGCTGCCATTCAAACCTACGCATGTGCGGAGTTTCCAGGTCTCGAACGCAAGTGTAGCTGACAGCCGCACTGCGACACCAGGAGATTATTCACTTCATAGTTGTCTTCATTCCGGCCTTCTTGATCTATGTGCTCGAGCCCCAGTCGCTGCTGACATCCTGCTCTTGCCCCGTCCGTGCCTGACCCTCCGTGCCGTTTCCGCTTCTGAGGACCAGTGCCACTTTGCTGTTCGGGCGCAACATCGAGGACCCATTTCCATGGATGTTGCGGGTACAGAGAACATAGCGCACAGTGCCCACTCTAGTGGAATAGAGTGTGCCCTAGAAACAGTCCTAACGCCGATCCCAGCCCGTGGCATTGATGTTGTTACAAAGCGGATGCAATGAGTGGCTGGTTCTGCTCTTCGACGGAAAGCTTCAGACTGCACATGGCTTGCGCATGCCTGGGCTTCTACACTTTAGGCCTCTCGTCCAGCCTTGACTGCTGCAGCCCTCGGTGGCCTCCATGACCCCCCAAGCAACCGCACAGGACGTGTGCACGTTCCAGGGCTCACTGGGCGCGCTGGCAGCATGGGCTTGGGGAGGGTTTTAGTTTCAGACCTCGGAAGGTGCTCAGAGAGGGCATTGGCCGCTTTGTAGAACCTTGATGTCGCAGACTATTCTCTCGCTGAAATCTAGGACTTCGGACCGAAAGCACGCTACATCCCAAGCCCAGGTTACATCTTCCGCATGGCCCAGGAGGGTGAGTTTGACTGGGAGAGCATGCAGGCTGGTCACCAGTGAGCTCATGCACCATCTCCGGAATCATGCCAACTACACGAACGGGTCTAGCCCATTCAGCATCTTATGCACCCTTCAGCTGGCAGTTTGGTTTCACCGCAGTTTGCAACAAGAGGCAGCAAGCTCAATGGCCCAAACCGCAAACCGAAACCTGTGATTGAGGAAGAGAACTACTGGTCTTCCGCCATCTGGGTGTGGTCCTTCGTGGTGCCTTGGCATACATTGACCCTGTGCCCTAGGGCTATATCGCACGCGGAGGAGGGTGGTGTGCAAAACAAGTTCTTGGCCACGTTCTCGGCTCATCTACATGACTGCAGCAGGTTTGCAGGCAGAGCAGTTTTGTTAAAGGTTGCAAGATGGGGAGCGGCTTTGCCCTCTGATAGTATAGGTGTTTGTCAACATGCTGCTGATCAACCTGCTGATCGCCATCATCTTGGACACCTACAAGGACCGAGCATTAAACTCTCTAATCCATGCCATGCGCCTTGCAGAGGGCATTGATATCATGGACCGTGATGGACCTGTCCGACGATGTGAACGCATGTCAGTATCAACCCACTGGCGAACGAGCTGACACGTATGACTCCCGTATGACTGCATGACTCTCTCACTCAACAGCTTCTCGCAGACCCATGCAGACCCTGCCAAGGTGAAAGTTCTGCATGTATAAACCCTGTTCCCAATGTGGCTGAGACAGACCGAGACACAATGCAAAAACTCCGTGCTGTACCCCAAAACTCATAAGGCACTGCTTCCTAGCTGAGTCCGGAGCTACAAACCTGAACTTGACCTGCACAGTTTCAGTCTTCTCTCGATTTCTCTCCATGTCCAGCTCGCTTCTAGTCGTTTCAGGTGCCACGGTCGAGCTACCTCAGCATGTGCCCACCTCAAGCATCCGGACTTGCCCCAAACCTGAACAACACCCTAACGTCGCATAACGTCACTACAGCTGCCTGCAGCTTTCTGCCAGTTCGAGGCAAGACAAGCTGAGAGATCAGCCGAGCTTAAGCCGGGTTGTTTGCTTGCTTCCTGCATCCGCACTTGGAGCTTTTGCGCTGCCCTACGTATCCGAAACCAGTAGGCCCAACCAAAGCAAGGGTACAGAGGTCTACGGGAGCACGCCCGAAATTGCGCCCTTCCTGGCAGGAAGTACAGCGCAAACAGGATTCCAAGGAGGCGGTGCCGTGCCCAGCTGGGGCTTTCAGCCTTATCTCACTCTTTGGGGCTGAGGCAGCTTTTGTAAGGAGGGGGTGGGGGTTGGAGGATAGTTGTTGCGGCTCTTGATCTCCCAACACATGTTCTCAGCACCTCTGAGCCTGTGTGAATGTGATTGAGGTCTGGAACACCCTGTACCAGTTCTGGAACCGCCTGATCTCCATGAGGACCATTTGATCTGTAACTTCCCGGCAACAGTCTCGTGCAGACAAAGCTTCCATGAGTGCGGTGGAGGAAGTGGGTCAATGAGCAGGCCATCGTGAGGACCGGGTTGCAGTCATGGTTCTGGCCTGCGCGGGCATTAGCTCTGCAAAACGTGGGACTCCCGTCGTAGCTCGCTGTCTTCCCCCAGAAGGCGGAAGACCGGTAAGGGGGAACGTTGCATGGGCATGTACCGAAGGCTCATAATACGTTAAGTCTTTGTGCCTCTGGCATAATTTTCCATGTGTGGACCACGAGGCTTAGAGCCCTTAGAGCCCGAAATGCGGGGGTTCAGGGGGCCTTTTCGGAGGGGATAATCGGGAACTCGCTCCTCGGAGGGAACCGTCACCCCCCCTTAGCCCAAAACTCAGTCTTAAGATGCAAGAACCTTAAATTCGGGAGGAAGTGCAGCGAGCCTTTCCACCCCGACCTCCTTGAGCCGGATTACCTGAAGGCAGGTTTGGAAGCTTCAGGCTTAGGGTCGTTGTTTCAGCAAGGACTTCCTGCGAGCCCTCCACACAAGGCTGCAAGCCCTCCACGGCCCTGAATTTACCACAGTGCCCTGAATCCGTATTGCAACATAGCAGCCATATCATAATACGCGCTGAAGTTCAGGAGTGCTTTCCAAACATGCCGGAGTACCAGCTCGGCCTGCTCTTTTCGGACACTGCGAAGCAGATGGAGATCCAATCCGACAAAGACATCAACACAGAGCGCCCTGCCTTGGAGCCGGCCCTAAACCCCAAACACCCTAAACCCTAAACCCTGCAGGGTGGTCTGGAGGTTTACTGGGGTTCAGGAAGTCTCGGGTGGGTTTCAGGTCGAATGGGAAGATGTTGCTCCTCCAACAGGGCTCCAAAAGCTCCCCCAACAGACTCCCAAGATCCCCAGCTCCTATTGAAAACTCAGCTGAAGGCCTCAGTTTGGGTCGATTCAACCCTGCTTGAGTCATGCCCGGAGACTGTCCCAGGAAGCTGGTGAAGATGGCTGGCTCGCTGATGATGTCTGTTGGGGGTGTGAACAAGTCCTTGAAGACGATCATGGAAGAAGAGTCCAAGGACTCGCTGCACTCTTGGCTGCAGAAGATGAGCACGCTTCACACAGCCCAAGCAGCAACAGACAAGCTCGTACAGTAACACCAGAACTTCGCTTGTAATTCGGCTTGCATGCTTGCTTGCATCTCCTTTTCTTTTTGCTGTCTGTGTCTCTTCTTTGCATACATGCCGGGGGGGTTGTAAATTCGTGCTTGCTTGTGTAATTTTAACGCTACGCGACCCGCCTCGGTCTGAGTCTGCAACGAGGCAACCCAAACCAGAGAGGGGTGGGGGGTGGGGGGGGGGGGGGGGGGTGGGGGGTGGGGGGGGGGGTGGGGGGGGGGGGGGGGGGGGTTGGGGGGGGGGGGGTGGGGGGGGTGGGGGGGGCTTTGTGCTACCCAGACACCTACGGCCCGAGCTCGGCGGATTTTTCCTCTGTGTCGCTGGTCAATATTCTTGCTTTTTCCCTTGCAACTCTTCTGGCGTAGGTTTTGCTTGTGTGGTCATTGCTTCGGTTGCGCCCTTGGTAGTTTCACGTGTCTCTCATGCTTGGACGGGGCGATGGGTGTGTTGGTCAGGGAGAGCACTATTGCAGCAAGCGTCGGATTCCAGCTTTTCTCATGTTTTTCGCAAGTGGGCGGCTACTGTATCGGCCGGAATGTAACACTGGCCGGAGAACCTCGAAGCAGTACGACCTAAGCTTTGACGAGCTTCTGAGTTGAACATTTCCGGGAACTGTCAGCCCGAAGCCTTGCAAAAAACCCTAACCGAGGCAGAGTTGGGTGGTTGGCAAGCCGCTCCCCAGCGCCCTGAGTGCACGGAAGTCTTTCTGGAGGGTTCTGCGGGGCGGAATCGGGTTAAGTAGGTTCAGGAAGGTGGGGCTGGGGATATTTAAGGGGGATCGTGCTTCGGGACTCTGTTCGGACTGGAGATGTGGAGCCTAACCCCTAAGACCCATTCTTTTCGATGCACTGAAAGGTTCCGTGTCAGAAGATTCTACAATCTACAACCAAATTGCATTTTTTCATGGGGGCCCGATTTAGAACAACCCGAATTAATGTAGCCGCATGAGCCTTGCGAAATTGCAGGGCCAAGCTGGGAGTTCAGGGACGGGATCCAGGTGGCAGCGAGTCGGAGTTCCCGGTCCAGCACAAGGGGAACAAGCCGCCCAGGCTGGGGGGGTTGGGATTCTGGGTCTTTGGCGTCCAGGTTGCATCAGATCCCTTCACTTCCACAAATGAAAGTTGTGACATGAGTCAACACCGCACCCATGGCCAGGATCTTCGATCCCACAAAGGTGGAGGAGCGGAGTTGGAAACCAGGGGTTGGGCAATAGAAGCGTCGTCCAAAATGTATCCAGGCACAGGCCCAGGGAAGACTTGTGAGAAGACTGTGGGAGGAGGTTCAAGAGGTCGACGACGACGACATCGGGTGCCTTTTCTGTTCCAGCCATTGGAGACGGCTGTTGGTTGGCCAAGTGAGTCCCTTCTTCACCGGTACGTCAGAATGTTTGCACAATCCCCAGACCCTAAACCCTAAAACCTGAATGTTGCCAGACGACGACAGCTCAGGCTGGGTCCAGACCCCGTCGAGGCTACCAATGAGCCAGCAGTGGAGGATGAAGCGGCTGCCCCCGCTGCTGGATCTGCACGAAGAAGGTTCAAGCTATTTTCTTAGATGTAGGGCAAATGTAGAGTTTGGACCATAGTGTTTTTCTTGGTAGTCGGCGTTTCAAGACACACCACAGAAACACGCAGACACGGACACGCAGTCACGCAGCCTGTCTGAGATGATGAGGGCGATCCGTGGGCGATCCATGACCCCCACATCACAAGCTGAGTGCATGTGACATCCCAAGGTCGAAGAGGAGTGGAAGCCTGTGTGGTTGCGCGAGGTTGACTCCATGCTCAAGGCCTTCCTGCATCACGATTGACAACTTCTTACGGGTTCTTGTGTTCGACGTGGCCGGCTTATGCCGGCTTGCTCACTCGCTTGCACGCTTGCCTACTTGCTGTCTGGCTGCTCGTGTTGTTCTTGTACTGTCGCTGAGAGCCCAGCCCAGATTCATGAATCATGTACTCAAGCCCTGAACGCCGCCGTGCGAAACTCCCGGAACCGGTCGCAGGGTGAGGTTTGAGTATAGTGCAACCACATTAAAGCTATTTAAACGACCGGGCTTGTAGAACAATAATGAAGGACAGCTACTGGGACAACCGATGGCCCACTGCGTTTTGTTAGGGGAGGGGGGGCTTGGACGTATCTCGCAACACAGTCCCTCACAATTGCAGAGCTCCGGAGGACATGTTGTAAGCTGTAGTTTCATTGGTTCAGTATATATTGCAGCACCAAATACGTACACATGAATTACAGAATTAAAGCTTTGTAACGTATTGAATTGGGATATTTCAAAGCAAAAAACAAGCCAAAAAGAGCCAAACACAGAACAATCTGGATCTCTTGGATATGAAGGATCATGGGCCATTTCACAGAGGTGCACATGTTTGATTTGTTTTTGATTCTTGACTTGGGCATCATTGTGCTTGTGTTGGTCCGATTTCTGTTGATAAGTGTTTTATCATCCAGCCACTGTGTTTAGTGAAAACCCCCACCACGTAGCGGCTGAGTGTTCCGCCACCCATTCATCTCTAGCTGTTCCAAATATTGTCATTCTTGCCACCTTCCCTCTTCTTTGTGGTGTTGTTGTGCTTGCATGCGCCGCTCGACGTTCCAGTATTGTCAAAAGCGCATGCACGTGCATGTGGCCAAAGCACCCTGCAAACTAGAACAACTTGCATTGTGCTTCCGCAAAGTCGACTCAACATCTTCGAACTTCTTGCTCTGCCTCATGTTGACACGAGTAGGCAAAAGCACGAGGCAACCCATGAGACTAGGTCGGAAACGAAATGTCTGGGCTGCATCTCTGTGCACGTACATGTTGAGAAGCTTGGATGTGGCGGCGAGGCACAGCGTAGCTGGCTTCTGAACGCGAACTGGCACCTGGAGCAGTCCCTTGCGCGTGTTGGGGTTCAGGGCTTCCGCATCGCAGCCTGCTGCACTCGGGAGTCCTGGAATCGTTGCCGGAAAGGCCTACTAAGCGTGGCAGCGTGCACGACCGGTAGATTTGAGGACTCGTGGACTCCACACTTGCTTTCAAGATCCGAAGTCTGCCCAGCGACCCCAGTTGCGAATCCTAGGCTGCAGGCCGTGCTGAAGCAGCGGCTCCTTGGCCAGGGATGGGAGATGGTACGAGATGGTGCGTGCATGCAATCAGGGTGGTCATGGTGGCATGCATGCGTTTCGCGGTTCGCTGCTTGGGATGTGGTCAAGGGTGGGGCAGAGAAACGAGGGATTGTGGTTCACCGCGCTCCCCGATTCGTAGTCCCCGCAGACAAAGCGCACAGCCAAGGCTCAGAAAGATAAAGTGATCTGGATATTTAGACCTGCAGACGGGCCACTGGTCTGCATTCAAGTGTCTACTTTCTTTCTGGTGCACGGTCTTCCGCCTCTTGTCCGCTGGTCCTTAGTTCCCTAGACACTGTGGGCACTTTCTGGTCTGGTCACTCGAGGATGTAGAGGGCATCCTTCACTGCATCTGTTTGCATCAGGCATGCCTGCACCTTGCACCGAGGTCCACTTTTGATTCCGTCCTGCTAAGCAAAATGGCTGTAGACCGGCTTGCCAGCACAATGCACCATCAGGGAGCACTTGCTCTTGTACCAGGTCGGTGCTGAGTATTCATGGATTCAAGTGGAGTTTGCTGGCCAGCCGTTTTTGCCCCAGTTCCACTGTACTTGCCTTCGCCGAGAGCTCCCAGCAGGTGTTTCTTTGGTTTCGTGTTAGTGCCTCTTAAGGACTCTAAAGTGTCACCTTTGGGTAAGTTTGCCTTGGGTTCAATTTAAGAAAGAAGACTCTGGGAGATCCGCGTGATGGCTTGCACACTACGTGTCAAAATTTACGAATGTGGCATACTCAAAGAAAAGTATGCCTTGCCCTCTCGGCAAGGAGCCTTGAGGCTTTTCACCCTGGTTGCTGAAGGCACCTGCACATGGTTTGTGAGGACTAGGCATGCAGAGATCCGAAGGTTTTGCTTATTCGATACGTTGCATAACCAGCAACACCCGCGTCCATGCGAATGCTATCAAGATACCGAGCTTACTCCTGTAAGGTTCGTTCTGGCGGGCACAGCCATGCTGGTTGACATGGGTTGACTGCTCCGCTGCTGCTCCGCTTCCCTTCTGATTTGTCAGAAGAAGCTGCGCGGGATACCGGATGTGGAATCGATGCCCCTCCTTGTTGAGAGCGGGATGCAAGTCTGAGCCCCCGAGAGAGGGAGAGAGACAGAGAGTTCCCCCACAAACCCGTTCCAATGCTGCTCTTTGCAACGTCTGAACTGCATCCTGTCCAATCCCTCCTGCACGGTAGGATGAGCTTACGACAGCTGCCTGACATGACGATATTTGAGACTGCTTCGTGCGAATCCTACCAAGCTCACGTGTTCACCAGCACTGAAAAATCAGCGCTGAGCCGACTGGTTGGCGGAATCGTCTGGATGCCTCGGACTGAGCTCAACCTTTCAAGTAATTCAGCTCAAGATCACAGACCTGTGACACTGGCTCCGACGTCCATACACGGTGCTTACAGCTGGACGTGCAACCTTTGTATGCGTACAAGTCTAAGTATATGTTATATGGTCAATACATATGTGGGTGTCATTACTCTGCCTCACGAGCGACCGGCTCAGGAGGCACGAGACAAGCAGAATTCTGTTTTGAGTTGCTCCAGTCAGTCCGAGTCTCCAATGCCTGCCCAGCGTCGGCGCCGAAGATCTCGCCTTGCTCACTGTGGTAATGTCTCACAGTTGCACAGCCTCAACATGCCTCAACACTCCGATGCGGAATGCTCCTAAGAGCAACATGTGAGACCTGCCGAGCATTGCCGAGCTTAGATGGAAGATGGTCCCTTTGCTAGCCTTTGGCCGGATACGGGAGCCCACCCCATCTAAGCTTGAAGCCGGTTGTTCCCAACTCAGCCGGGCTAGCAGCCACAGCTCAGCGGTTTTGGAGCAGACGAAAAGGGTCACAGAGACTGGCGGCTGGAATCGGGAGCCACTGAGATGATGAGCTTCTACACACGCATCACGGACTTCTCCTGCAACTCTGGCTGTAAACAGACGAGCTGTAGCATGTTGTAGCTAGGCTATCTTCCACCTGCCTACTACCGCACGAATTCACAATGCCCCAGCTTGATTACACTTGGGCTGTGCCACCGGCACAAAGGAACCGTTGCTTGAGCATCTCAAGGCCTAACCCCATGAGAAGCCCCAACCCATCAAGACTCTTAACCCCAGGCCCCTTGCCAAAACCTTCGCCCTGAAACCTGAGAGCCATGTCACTTGCCTGTGGGCCAGAGCAGTTCGCGGTGCTGCCGACCTTGGCCGTTTCGGGGGCGGTGGTAGTGGCCACCGTGGCTTACCGAACCTTGACGGCAGCCGACTATCACCATACAATACCACATACTTGGATGTAGTGTCTTTCTAGCACAGCTTGCACATGGGTCGTGGAGATCTTTTGGGAAGCTGTGAAGTTCTTCCAAGCTCATGAGTGTCGCTGGTTTCTTTGATGTTGGAGGCCCATGTGTGGGTCATTTTAGAACTAATAAAAGACACCCCATATATAAGATCACCAATAAGAAGAAGGAACCGTATATACATTCACCAATAATTCAAAACCTTGTGTCATGTTACTACCTCCAGCGCGTTCTCTTCAGTGTTTTTCCTTGGATGCATATGTTAGTCCGGAACTTGCCAGACCAACTGGAAAGCGGTGTAGCCTTTCCATGAGCGACCTCGCAATCATAGCAACCATCATCAGGACCGACTGAATCAGTCAAGCAAAAATCAGCAACCAATCATCGGCATCAGTAGCAGCAGCCCTTTTGAAACCGAACTGGAACACCTGTGCACAGTTCAAAATGCCATCTGCCGTGCATTGCCTGACCCGACAACCTAAGCTCGAAGTCATCCTGAGCCTTTCAAGCCCGGGGAGCGCCCCGAAAACCCTTAAAAGGCTTATGAGGCGTTTGGGGTCTAGGGTTTCGGGTTTCGGGTTTAAGGTTTAGGGTTTAGTGTGGGTGCAAAGAGGCACCTCCATCGCTTCCCGTGGGGGCCGCGAGCGCGAGTGGCGCAAGCGTCGGGCGGGCGAGCTCCTGGGTGAGGCGTCGGCTTCTTGCTGATTACGGTACCAGAAAGTACCACGAATATTGCAGATGTTTTTACAAAAAAAACGCATAAAGGGTTATACGACATATACAAGTAGTTCTGGCGAACCTGGCGGAGGAGACAAATGCCGTCGAACCCAAAGCGGTCGGGCGCAGCCGTGCACCTCAGGAGAAGCAGAAGGACAGAACCTTCAGGCTTACAGGGCTCAGTGAGTCATGGATATGTGCGCACTTTCTGGAGCTGTTTGAGATGTTTTCTTAGTCGACCCTATGCGTATCTGCTGAAGGTTTAGCCGGTGGGTGCCCATGGTTTAGATAGAAGACTTGACTGGTCGGACAGTTTCCGGACAGTTTCCAAACTTATACAAAGTGAGGGGCGGGAGTGTGAGAGGTGTCTTGGAAGACTGAAGAATCTTCCAAGGACGCTTCAGGGCGATTCATGCGTGGTGCTCTCATCCAGCGTGGCAGGAAAGGGAGAGCAGCGCACAGCTTTCCAATCGAAGTGCCGCGCGCGCCATCCACGAGGAACGGCTTCTGCTCGGCAGCTGTTCGCTGTGCTGCTTGATTTGTAGATCGTAGTGACGGTAGTGACGAATTATCTTTCTGGCAGAATTGTATCTTTCTGGGGCCGGAGTTCCCGCATACCTGTGATGGGGCGCAGATATACACGGCCAAAGCAGCTCCAAAGCCCAAAACCCTGAACCCAGCGGCACTGCGTCCCAATCTTGCCCTTAAAGCAACGACAGGGAGTTTACACAGTTTTGCATTGAACTTCTTAGATTCATGGCTGACTGAAGTTCAGGGTCCAGCCTCCCACTGACGTTCTACCGCGACCCCGGTTTCGAAGCTCTTCCGCAAAGAAGCTATGACACGTAAATTAACGCTGTTCTGCCCCCTGATCTGCTTGTTGCGACTCCAAGAGTGGCGCAGGATCGTGTGGTTCTCATTGACAGGGAGGGCTACCTAGCGGCGCGTGCCCACCTCCGCCTCGTCACCTCCTGCCTGGTGGGTGCCAGCATTGTTCCCTGTCTCAGTCGCTAAGAGAGTGGCTTTGCAGTTTTTGCCCGAGTCGGATACAAATCGTCAGGGCTTAGCGCAAGCAGCAAAAGGATTTCAGAAAGCAGGCCGATCAGTTGAGGTATCCTGATCTTTCTGCCACCTAGAACCACCCCTGACTTAGCCTAAAGGTGTTTGAGATAAACAAACCATCCACCTCTCCGCTCGGAGGCGGCAGCGGCTCAGTGGCTCAGCGGCAATGAGTAAGAATTGTCGCTGCAACTGCACACTGCCAGAGTGCCAGAACGGTTGAGGGTGGTGTGAGGCGCATGTGTGCGCATGGCCGTCGCCTACGCCTGCACAGCCTTGTCAGTTGCCATTAGTTGCACACTGCGCTTTGCATAGCCCGATATCCGAGGCCAGGGGGCTCAGACATGATCTTCGCACTTAGCCGCTTCGTGCTCCTGTTGCTGTTGACTTGGGAGGTGCCGGTCTCAATTGTGAGAGGAGCCTTTCCGAAACATTCTCGAGCCTGAAACGATAACTTTCCCGCCAGGGGGGCTTGCGTCTCGTTTCGACTTGTTGCATCAACTTTAGCTCAAGTGGGCTGCCTCACACATGAAGGCCCGAAACTTTGCATCTAAGTCCGTCATCATAGGGTTTGTTGCTGCCGTGGTTTGCCGACCATTCTCTCTACTGTTTTCTCTACACACTGAGCCCTTCACACGAAGATCCATGTTGCGTTGGCCAGTGCCTCTGAACCGTCGCCATTGTGTATTATTATATGGTCAAAGTCAGAGACAACCAATGGCAACCAGAAACTGGTTCTGAGGCCTTCCAGAGTGCAGCAGGTCGGATTGGCTCCTGTTTGGGGCTGCTCAGTGCCTTGTCGGTTGTCTTACCAGGTTCTTCCCGTGCTACCGGCAATCCATACTACTATGCTGCCATGATGTAAGATCGTATTACCCGTTTCGCTTGCATAGAGATGTTAGGAAAGCTTGGGCATTTCGTTAGGTGAAAGTAAGTGGCAACACTGCCGCCCCCAAAGGCTTCTCTCTGGACTGATCAGTGTCTCCGTCTTGCTTTTGGCCATAGTATCAATATGCAATAACCACACAACACAAGCTACTCGGCACGGCCACTGCTTGCTTTGACCTTAAGCGGCCTCCAACTTTGTGCGCCGCAGAGCGTAGCGCGGAGGGGGCAGAGGTGCCGAGTTGCACATAGTTGCACTATTCCAAGCGGCAATTAGTTGTGGTGCTGTTTGTAAAAGGCAAGCCCAAAGCCCTGAAGCGACCAAGCCCAACAAGACTCACAGAGGCCTCGAGCAGCAGCGCCTGGCGCCCGCCACCCCACTGCTTGGCACGGCCAAGCGCCGTGGCTCCGGGGCAGCCGGGGCCCCTGCACTGGCCGGTTTCATTTGTTAGATCTTTGGTCCCCTGAGTTTGTGGTTCCTTATGAAAGGGTACCGTAATGTTATCGCTACACAGCCACCTGGGCTGGGCTGCAGCTGGAGCCTCGGAATTTCAGGGGACAACGAAAGGTCCCAAGTTCTGGGTGGCTTTGGTGCAGGAGCTAGGCATCCTCAGGGGAAGGATTCTGGAAGGCGCCGTCTACTAAGAGCAGGTCAGCTGCGAGATGCTGCGAGTCAGAAAAGAGGGTTGCAGTGCAGCTCCCGCAGTGAACCTATGAACGTTTTTGGTGGTCTCTCGCAAAAAATCACTGAAGGTTTGGAGGTTTTGTGAGGTTTTTCTCTGCAGCACCAGGGTCCTTTGCGGGTCCTGGCTAGGGCCCCCTAGCGACAACGCCACACATCTTAGCGTTTAGAGCCACAAGACCCTCGCAGGCCAAAACCCTAAATACAAACCGCCTCAACGTAAACATCGAGCAGCGGTGCCCGCCCACATCTCAAGCCATTTAAAACCCACCTCAAGCATCTTCAAACATTCACCCCGCATAAGCCCTCAACTCAAGAATCTTCAAGAAGTTAAGCCATGTTAAGCCCGAAACTCCAGGAGACGCTGCTCTCACAATTGGGGCCAGTTACTCCGCGGCAGACAATCGCAGTGGGAGTTTGGCAGTGGGAGTTTGAATTTGTGCTTTTAGCGTTGGGGGCTTGCATGACTGAAGGGGTCTTGGGGCAGGGGATCCGGTGTGAGAATGTGTGCGCTTGAGTTCATGGCTGCGGCCGGAGTGAGGGCCCTTCGGTCTACAAGTCTACAGTGGCGCATGTGGCCCGGACTAGCTGAGCTTTTGGGTGAGGTTCATGTTGATTCGGCACTTCGACCATACAGGTCTTTCGCGGAAACAAGCGCCTTCTAAGGACGTTTCCCAGAAGCTTCATGAAACTTTCCCAAGGTTTTGGGGCCATACCGTCTTGGGGAAACCGCAAGACCATCAAAACCCTTGCCTGACTTTCCTCCTCCCAAAACGCTCATGCAGGTGACGTTCAAACTTTTTAGACCCAGAGCAACCAAGCGCCAAAAGCAAGAAAGCAAGCAGAGCCGGATCGGGCCAGCGCGAGGCTTGTGGTGAAGAGGGCTTGAAGGTCGTCCGTCTAGTGGGACGAGGGAGACTTCTCACTCTTACTGGCCATCTTCCGGGAGACCGCCACGCCAAAACTGAGGCGCCAAAAGCCTCAAGCCTCTTTCCGAAGTGCGCCACATCACATGTGCTGACTACACGCCGATATTGTCGAAAGTCGATAAGTGCCCTGTTGTTTCCAAAACTGGGTGCGGCTACAACCCCTCATGCCTCACTCGATTCTTCACCACTTCCTTCTGTCTCTTCACTTCGTAGACTCCATGGTTGCAGGGGGCAGCAAGGGAAGCGTGGGGGCCTCAATGCCCTCCTCAAAAGCGATGGCGATGGCAATGGTCTTTACCACTTCACAACGTTGAAGCGCTGCGCCGCTTCATGGGCAAGGCCCTAAAGTCTACGGCTTTTGGCATGCAGATGGAGCATACAAAGGCTCAGGTGGACAGGATGTGCAGTGGAAAGATGCGGAAAGAGGTCCTGCAAGAACAGCGAACCCTTGCAACATTATCAAGCATACCGGGTGACACTACGGGCGATGGGAAAGGTCGCCGTGCTGCACACGGACGCTTTCTCGCAACAAAGCCGGCCATGCGGAGGGGATCAGCCTCCTCTCAATGGACTGATGCAGTGGCCGCCCTCAAGGCGTGGCAGCTGCATTTGATGCGGCTGACGTCGGTGGCCAGCATATTGGACGCAGATCACGATCCCCTTGTGGTTGAAATATTGAGGGGGGCGAGAGGCCTTGAAGTATTTCAGGCGGGCAGGTTGTTGGGCTGGTTGTTGAAATATTTCAGGTTTTCCGATGCTTTCAACACAGAAATTATATCAGAACACACGTGGGGCGTAGACCTTGAAATATTTCACTTGTTCATGCCGCCTCAACATGGTTTCCACATTCACGTCGGCAGGGCGAAGACGTCCTCTGAAATTTCAGGAGTTTGCTTCAGGGTGGGCGGTAGGTAGGCTCAGGCCCTGAGACTCCCTGCTGAGATGCCATTTTCTCGCACTGCCCCTTGAAATCCCCATCGAGCACTTCTGCATCGACATGCCCGTCGAGCACTTCATCCGATTGAAGATGCTGATCTTACAGAGTCCCTGTTACACTCTCACTGTGGCAAGTGCGTCGGAGCCTCCAGTTGAACCTCTGCAAGAAACTTCAAGAACGAGTTTCGCTCCGTTTGTAGACAGCCTGGCTTAACTCACAGCTGTACTTGTCGCAATATTTCTTCTGGAAGAACCATGGGGGGAAAGGGTTGTGGTGAGTTCTGGCCCGGCGAGATCTAGGCTTCTGTCGGAAAATCTCAAGATCTCGCTGCTTGAATACGGGGCTCTGCTCATTAAATGGACCGAGTGGCACAACAGAACGCTCCACCAGCTCCTCCCACTGCAGGCTTAGCATCTTCAATTCAATCGGATGCAGAAGTGCTCGATGGGCATTTCAAGGGGTCAGCAGGGAGTCTCAGGGCCTGAGCCTACCTACCGCCCACCCTGAAGCAAACTCCTGAAATTTCAAATGACACCCCGCCCCCTCCCAGGCCGAACACCATGTCAGCGCCAGGCTTGAAATAGAACAGGCGAGTTTCGCCCCCCCCCCCCCCCCCCCCCCCCCCCCCCAAAAAAAAAAGGCCGTAGTGTCACGGGGTGACCTGTGCCGTACGCCGCGCAGAGAAAGAAGTGGCATGCGAGCTGTTGCATGCTTCTCATGTGGCGTTCAGCACCACCCGCGATGTTTGCGGCATTTTTCCTTCTGGATGGCAGCACGCTGCAAGAACCTTACCAAGCCCGAAACCGTATCCTCAAACTCTTCAGTGCACTCTGTAAGAGCCACCCCCTCCCCCGGTTCCTCAGGCTTCCGCATCGATGCAGAGCCTCGACCGACTGCGACTGGCTGCACTGCACTGCCTCGCGCTGGCTCTGCTGATTTGGTTCGAGGCCTTGGGGTTATCAGGGCGATGGGATGCCTTTGCAGCTGATGCTCGTGATGCGCGGGCTTTGGGGCAACGAGGTTGGTGGAAGGCTCAAGGCTGATGTTTAGTCCAGCTGATGCTCAGACGATGCACGTGCTTGGAAACTCGCAGGGCTGACAAGGTTTTTTGTGACGGATGTTTTTGAGGAGTGTCTTTCCAAAAACTTGAGCTCGAGTTCGATTCTATGTCTAAGTCTAGGAGGATTGGTTTTGTACTCAGCTCCTGACGGCCAAGTCCCAGTACACCATGCTCTGCTCTGGAAACGCCGAGGTCGTCCGCCACCCGGAGCTCAGAACTGCCGCTTGCGAGGGCCACGAGGCCCAAGAGCCAAGAAGCCGAGTAGAATGAGTAGAGCCTGCAAAGAAGAGGCATCTTTCATCATCTTTCCTTTGTGTGATTTTGGTGGTCCCAATTTCCTCGGCAGGCCTCGGCGGCGGCGTTGCTGACTGAGAGGGCCTCGGCGCTGACGATGGTAGTGGCAGGGCACCCCAGAGTGAGGGTCAATTGAATGTCGGTGAGAAGCCCCTGGGCACTAGCCGCAGCTTTGCATGGTATTCAATAGTTTGTGGCACAATATCCACTCCAAGATCAACAGCTTCCTCGACAGGCCTGGCTTTTCGCGGCTCTAACACGCACGGCAGCATGGCGCTGCGAGGCAACGTCCTGAATCTTCAGAAATGACTGGCATGAAGGAGCACGTGCCAGTCTCGAACGTCGCGATGCTGTCATGGCAAATATCCCCTCAGCCAATGCAAACAAACCGCGAACCCTCACCTTCATCATTCTAAGCGCGCAAACTTTAAAGCTCTGCCCCCCCAAGATTGCTGAGAGAGGCTTGCGTGTGGCTTGCTCCACGCGCTGAGGAGGTGCTCTCAGAGTACATCGAGAGCGACCGGTGCCCCGAAACAATCAGCAAGCCCAGTGTTTTTCCAAAAGGTTTTCCGCACAAGCCTCGCTGGGTTTAGGGTTTAGGGGTTCGGGCCGAGGGTATTAGAGCCGCTCACACCCTCAGTTTTTATTGCAAATTTGATGCCCATGACTGTCGTTGTTTTCTGGGATTCGCGGAGTGGGTTCAGGGTGTTGTTGAGTATTAATACAGGCTTAGTCAGATAACTGAAGTCCTGTGCTGCTTCACCCTGGAGTAGTTAGAGCAGCCGTCATTCTCGCCCTCAGAATTGTCAACCGCCCACAGCTCTAGAAGTTCCTAAGTCTGAAGATGCAAGAGTTTAGGGTTTAGGGTTTAGGGTTTAGGGTTTAGGGTAACAGCATGCCAAGGGGCTGTCCCCTAGCGGGCCGAGCCCTGGACTTGGCTGAGGCCAGCTCCAGAGAAGTTTTTCGAGCCGAGGGTTTAGGGTTTAGGCTTCAGGCTTTGAGTTTGGAAGGGGTCTGTGGTTTCGTTGCGGTTCTGGAGTTCCTTCTTGTTGGGGCTTTTCTGATAAGCCATGATAAGCATGTCTTTACTGACTTGGTGCCGATCAGGAACATTTCTTGCGCTGTGGCTTGTGCCTTGTAAGGCGCAAACGCCAACACCCAAAACCCAAACCCAGAAAGCGTGGCTGCCATCAGCCTGTATTTGGAAGGGTTTGTATGGCCGTATTTCTAGGGCGTCCTTTTGGGGATAAGCCGTTTTGATGCAACGATTCAACGTTCCATGCTTGCCTCTGCAGCTCTTGGTATGTGGACACAAGGCATGTCCAAAGAACTTCGTGCTAAAGTCTTCGTGGATGATTATAGGCTCCTGCTAGGTAACGACTACTTGCATCTCCAACATCTATTCCACGCCGGCGAATTTTGGGTTAGTTATCCTTGTTTCAGCACCAAAGACGAGACCGTCGCTTTCGAAAATAAGGATACAGATGGCAACCTTCAGTTGCTCGACGGTGTAGACGTCAAGCGAGACAAGCAAGGTGTTTGTCTTGGCATCCCTCTTCCCTTTACAGGCCTGGCACGTTTTGATTTCCTCGACCCTATTTTTCAAAAATGCATTCTGCATTCTTTTCTCGACAGAATAAGCACTGCCAAAGTGCAGCAGCAGATTGCCGCAAAAGCTATTGCCAGAAAGGTCATACCTGCGGCGTGATCAAGTTCAAAGATTGCATACTATAATCTTCGCTGCCACCGCTTTGAGACAATGCCAGACTCAAGACGCACGTTCTCCTCCTGCTCAAAAGACACATGCGTTTGACCCGGATTATGCCATGACTTATCGCAGTTTGTGCTTTTGGAACAGGCTACTGCGCGCACAACAGGATATCAACATGATTTGCTGCTATTTCTAGATCGTTGTCTTCCGGTCTTGGATCAGTGCAGCATGACATTCATGAGCTTGATTGTCAACCGCGGCTGCCTGACCTCATTCGCAAGACTAAGGATGAACAACAGATCTCTCTGCAGGACACTGACAAACAGAAATTATCAAATATTCTCCGCGATCTCGTCCGTGAAAACTGGACTGGCGTACTGCGCTGCGATATTAACAGCAAGTGAAGCCAGATGATCCCCATAGGAATGCGCTTGTGCACCTTCTTACTGATGCACACTACCCCCGATAGAGTTCATCAAATGCATAAGTCACATTCACCGCGCTGCTATCATGCCTACATGCAAAGAGGTCATGTTCAACATTTGCTGTGGAGTTGCCCACGCTTTCAAGGCATACGAACTAGCTGGCTGCTGCTCTTCAGCAACGAGAATGGTGGTGGTCACCTTGTGCACTTAATTTTGTGACTTATTCTGCTGACATGCCTGCAAGCTTCAAAGCTCCGTGGTCTCACCAGCAGCTGGTTCCGCAACGCATCACTAGACGGATGGAATTTTCACGCAACAAAGACCTCTCTGCCAAATGGTTCTCCATCTTATGGCGGGAAATCCACAAGATGCACCTCCTGCATGTCGACAAATTGCGCTGAGGCTTTTTTGTTTTCGCCTTGTACAAAGCTCGCATGCTTTCCATCAAAAACTCCTCAAGCTTTCTTGGATTCACAGTGCACAAATCCTTGCATTCTTGACTTTCAGTTCTCAACGGTATAAGTGGATTGACAAGTTTCCCTTTGTTGTTTTAATTTTTCCCATTAGTTTCTCTTTCGTTCCCCCCCCAAAGGATTTACCAAACTACTTGCAGAAATCTTTCTCTGCTGCAAACACAAACGCGATTGAACCAGGTGTTGCTTGTCAAATCATTCACATTCCGCCGCAGGATTTTCTTGATGTAGTAGTCTCTGGCAAATGCTGCCAGCTTCAAGGTCAGAGATCTGTGGGCTTAATGGTCAGTTTTCGCATAAACGGCAAATCCGCGCCGCCCACCTGGTTTGCACAGACATCGGATTGCAAGCTTTTGCCTGTTCAGCTTGACAACAGGAGCAAATTACATGGCATCACCAAAAGGTTCATTGCGGCTCAAAGTAGATATGAATGCTTCAAAAAAGTATATCCTTGGGCTTATGGAGTTTGCACATTTTAAAGTCTTGAAGCGCAACCATTGATTGGCAACATCACGTCCCAGACTCTAGATGTTGTGTGCATGCGTACCGTGCTTAGTACGAATCTGAGCTGTCTCACCTTCTTATGAGTCCGCAGTGCCAGTAAAACAAAACCACTGTTTCATATCAGCCTGCAGAGGCACTTTGTGCCGAGCCGCGCGTGGCAGACGCCTGGCTCCGGGAGCTCTCGGGGCTGTCGCTCTTGGCTCCTCGCTTTGGTGTCTGTTGGAAGGATCTTGAGGCCTGGAGTTTCAGAGTTTCGGGGGTTTGCCTCCTGCAGGTTTCGATCACATTTCGAGCAGTTGTGTTCCCGGTCATGTTTACTGGATTATTTCGAAGTGCCCCCTCGCAGCTTTGGCCTTGGGTGGCTTGGTTGAGCACTCCTTGAGGATGAGGGGTATCAGGACCGCAGTAGGGGAGCCTTCGTCCCAGTCCATTCGTCGGTGTTGACGTGTCTAGATGCTGCAAACTCGCTGTCTGAAGCTCCGCTTGGCCTGTGTGATTCTGTGCTTTCTTCTGAGGTCATGGATGGTGCATCCCAGCCGCTCGGATAAGAATTGGAGAGAAAGGAGAAATGGCAACCTGAAGCAGCAAGCAGTGTGTTTGGTCGTGGGTTATTCGGCATTTTCGGATGTCTACAGTGCAGTTTTCCAGCATGCATCAGCATCTGCATGTACATGTAGAGGCTTCAAAAGCTACTGTATAAGTAGCTGTGTTTTGCAGACTTTGGGTGTTCAAGTGCTAGTCTCTTCCAGTTAATTTGCCGAAGATGGTTCTCGAGGGCTTCGAAGCTCGCAACACAGCAACGCGCCCTGACAACTGCTGGCCGAATCCGGGCGTTGAGCGCGTGGCTGGCGAGGCAGGAAGCCACAGCTGCTGATCGGGCAGTCCACAGTCTGGTATGCAGAGAACAGGAAACAAGTCCGATATGCTCGTTCCATGGATTTCCATATGGTATGCTTGGGATCCAAGGAGGGGTTCAATCCACAACGACCGTCATGCGTCACGTCAATGGCAAGCAGCGGAACTACACCCCGCACGAAAGGCTTGATAAAGTTCTATGGCAGGAGAAACCTCGGAAACTCAGGAAACAGGGTGTCAAGATACCAAGTGCGTTCGAAGCAGCATGTAAGTCCAACTGCAGTGAGCTTCTCGGCACGTATCAAAGTTCTTGCGTCAGCAGGTGCAGCCCTACTAATAGGTATGTAGGTGTGCAGGCATGATCTGTTCTCAGTTTGTCCCGATCCTAGGTGCATGCCGGATCCCGAAGCCCTGAAACTCTGAAGATGCCCAAAACTACATTCTTTTTGTTTCTTGGGTTGAAGGGACGCCTCTAAGCTCAGGGCTTCTTAAGCCCTCAACCTCTCAAGCCCTGACTCCCGGAAACCCTTGAGCCCTAACCCCTTGATCCGATCCACACAGCACCCCCAGAAGATAGATGCATTCTAACCACCCAAAAGCCCCCTCCCCCCCCAAACAAACAAAAAAAACCAAAAAAAACAAAAACAAAAAGCCCTCACAAAAAAGAACCCCAAAACTTCGCCCCCTCAAAAAAAGCCCAACAAATTCCGAGGATCCGGCCCTCGCCTGGCATCGGCCCGGGCTCCGTGGAGCTCGGGGAGCTCGGGGAGCTGCAGCCATTTGGCGGCCTGTTGAAGGGCTTTGCATTGCGGGGTTTAGGGTTTGGGGTTTGGGGTTTAGGGTTTAGGGTTTTTAGGGTTTAGGGTTTAGGATTTAGGGTTTAGGGTTTAGGGTTTAGGGTTTAGGGTTTAGTAGGGTTTAGTAGGGTTTAGGGTTTAGTAGGGTTTAGGGTTTAGGATTTAGGGTTGAGGGTTTAGGGTTTAGGGTTAGGTCCTAAGTTAGGTTTAGGGTTTTTAGGGTTTTGAGGGTTTAGAGGGTTTAGGGGGTTTAGAGGGTTCAGAGGGTTCAGAGGGTTCAGAGGGTTCAGAGGGTTCAGAGGGTTCAGAGGGTTCAGAAGGTTTTGAGCTCCGCGTTTGTTGGAGGTTCATGCTTACCTCAAGGCCCAGGGCACTTAGTTAATAGGTTGTAAAGAAGGTAGGGCTACTCTTAGGATAACCCCAACCCCCAATACGTATGACCTCTCAACCCTGAACCCGAATTAGTTAAACCTACTTACTAAGCTCCCAGAGCCTTCCATCTCAAGATTCCTCTACCGAAGCGGGCAGGGGAAACAAGGTTCTGATAAATCCTCAGGCCATTACACCCCAAACCATCAATGTTGCGTGTGATCGTTTTTCTTTTCTTTATACACGCATGTTTTGCTACTGCGTTGTCTTGGCGTTGCAAGTCATATCACCGCAGGGTTCAGGCTCCTTCGCAAAGACGGGCTCCGAATGCCCGTGATCTTCGCAGAAGCAATATTCAAAAAGCTCAGTGCAACTGCAAAATGCATAGCTAAGCATTCTGCAATCGCCTTTACCGAGGGATTTTCAGCCGTGACGGCCATATAGGATTGTCCCAAGCAAGCCTCTCGAGCCCTTGCGATGGCCCCAGCAAACACATGTCTGCACTTGCCTCGCTTTGCTCCGCATGAGTCATCAAGCCTCGCGTGGGCCGGTCCCGCATGGATGACAGCGCAGCAGAGGAAGCCCAGGTGGCTTCAGCAAACATTGTGCAAGGCGCATCCACTTGCACGCCCGCCAGGCAGATGCACAGCTCAGCGCCGCTAGTGCGACCGCATGTCAAGCTTTGTGTGCTTGAACTCACTGCACGACATGCGCAGTCTTACAGCCTCGCGCTGGCTAGGTACAGCAATCGATGCACCAGAGTGCACCCCAAGCATCGCTTTTTGCTTACTGCATAGGCATTGCCCCTAGCAGCATCAGTCGCATACTGCTTGTACACTGCGCAACAGTGCTAGCCTCGCATGGGCCAGGTACTCTCGACGAGCCGGGCCCACGGTTCCGCCTTGCTCGCAGATGCTTTGACCGCATGTCTGAAACACAGACGCAAGCTTTCAGCCTTTGCTTCTTTACTGCATACGCTTGTACTTGCCGTGCTCAATCAGCACAGCCCTGCATGGGCACAGAGATCAGGCAGGTCGCAGCTCACTGCGTGGCACGCACTTGCAGCCAGAATGGCAAACACACACATTTGCATAATTGCTTACTGCGAGCATAATTTCGCCAACCACGCCCGCGTGGCCACACTGCACTAACGGCACTTTGTCAGGAGACTTCTAGTTTCGCCTTCCACCGCACTGAGTCACCGCCATGGCAAATCTGCAATCCGCCTGGCAAGTGATACTGCAGGCCTCCGACGCAGAACTGCGCGAGAGCATTTTGCATTTGCCTTCACGGCATCAGCGCCGCATTGCGTTCCTTACACTGCAATGCACCGCAGCAGGCATGTACCACGCAGAATACTGCGATGCCAGCTGGCGAGATTCGGTCCTCTCGCAATGGGAAGACCTACCGCAATCCGCACACGCAGCTTCTGCATACACCGCAACCGTCCCCGACCAGGACCGCGTGCAAGCCCCGCCGCACGAAGAGGAACTGCCCAGTGCGGACGCGGATATGCCATCACCGCCGTGGCCTGAGACCGCGCAGGCAACTGAGCCACCAACCGCACCTGCGCCCACTGCACCCACTGCAGAAGTGCAGCAGCTGTCTCAGCTGCTTACCACCTTGATTCAGCAACAGCAACAGCAACCGCAGCGCCGCAACAGCAGCAACAGCCCCGGCAAGCATGGGCGGACATCCAAGACACCGCGCCGCTGCAGCACCATCCCAAGCAGCAGCCTCCGGTCAAGAAGCCGCCCCCCAAACTGCCAGACCACATCCCGCGCCCCACCAGGCCAAAACGCCAGCACGCAGCATTTTTCCGCAGGCCTCACCGCAACCCACGCAGCAGCAACCAAGCACACTCCCGCAAGCATCCCCGCAGCCCGCGCAGCAGCCGCCAACACCGCAAACCGATTCCATGCACAACGGCTACGACGTCAGCTTTGGTGTCGGACCGCCCGTTCCACTGCACGACTGCCACAAGCGCCCACCGCTCGGCTTTTTTCCGCAAGGCTGCGAACCCGCGCAATCAGCCCTCTGCAACCGCAAAATTCTTTTTTCCGCCCAGGGCAGACCCTGGTACCGCAACCCCAAAAAGGGGACACCGCATTGCGCTATCCGTTGCACCGACCCCGACTGCAGCTACGGCGGAGCCGCGCCCTGCAATTACCCCCTGCCCGTCCCCTTCTGCAACGACACGCGCACGCGCCACACCTGCAGCCAATGCAAAGCACTGCGCAATGCGGACCGCGGACTGCCCAGTGTACAGCCGCTTAACTAACACCGCGCGGCGCACTGCACGCGCACCGCTCGCGCACGCACGTCGCACGCCTCGCATACCGCACACGCCTTGCCTTTTTTGGAAGCATGTCACCCCCTCTGCAATACAGCCTAGAGGCTTACTATGGCTTACTTAGCATAAGTTGCACGCAAAGAGGGGGTGCGTGCTGCGATCTAGCAGGCCGAGCGCAGCGCAAGGCCGCAGACGCAAAAAAGGAGTTCCGCAGACCGCAAGTGCTGCATTGAGCATGCCCGCAAGAGCTGCGCTGCATTCCCGCAAGATCCTAAACATGTTTGTAATCCCCAAAACATAACCGCTGCCGCCCAGGTCGACTGCACTTCCTCCTCAACGACGACATCGACCGCGCGCGTTCCAGCTCAGCTGCTTTCAGCAAAGCACTGAGCAAACTGCGCACGCCTGTTCAGCACCTTGCACATAAGCCCCCAACACTGCCAGACACGTACGACTATTCTAACTGCAATAGCCAAACAGCGCATGTCCTGCAGGTGCCTGAACAAGCAAATGCAGCAGCCTCCGACCTGCCCGGCATTTGCCGCACCGAGCTTACTGCAATCCCCAGCCTGGGAGAGCCAATCTCAGACCGCACCGTCATGCCACCTCCACTACCGCTTAGTACCATTCTCTTTGCACCAGCACTGCGTTCGGCCCCACGCTATTCTAAATCCCGAGCCTCAACCCCTAGGCGTAGGGTTGTAAACCTGACTCACTGCACGGCCTGGTGGCCCGCGCAAGCAGCCCGTGCCCGGCCTCCCGCACGCGACCCTAAAGCTATTCCTGCCGACCCAAAGGCTCAACCGCACCATGACCCCATCCAGCGCAGCACTGCGCCTGCCGCAAACCCTAACCCGAAGCCCCACCCTAAGCCTAAGCCTACACCCAAGAGCTTGTTAAGGCAGGCCCCGCCCATGTGTCCATGCAGGCCACCAGGCGCCCTCTGGCAGAGCCACCGCCTCCGCACAATCCTGCTCCACAAGCATCAGCCGCTGCAGCAGCCCTTGCTGCGCCTACTGTTAAGCCACATTACCAGCATCGCATCACAGCCCCGAGCCTTGCTTCGCATCCCGAGGTGTTTACCGCCAGAGCACAACATGCGACTCGCAAACAGCGATCAATCTCTCGCTTTCTGCGTATACTGCTAACGATAGGCTGTGCCAGTACGCTTTTTGCCCAACTGCACAACCGCCCAACCTATGAGGCGCACGTTGCACAGACCCTTGTAAAAAACACAGCCAGCGCCCTAGACCGCTACCTGCGCTGTGTCGAGCAGTTCCTCGACTACCTCAACATGTGGCACTGCAATATAGGCGACTGCGCTTGGCCCTGTGTAGCCGATTACCTGCATTCGGCACAGCAAAGCAAGATTTGCGATCGAGCATGCCACCGCACGTCGCCTGTGATGTGCGTTAAAGCCTTGCGCTGGTTCGCAAAGCACGCTCAAGTCGAGGGTCTAGCCACCGCAATGTACATGCCCATCATCTCTGCCTACACACTGCGAGATGAGCCGCGCGACCGCCGAGAAGCCATGCCCCTGCCCATGGCATGCGTCATCGCCTGGGAGCAATGCGTTTGCAACTGCTTGGCACCAGTCGCACTGCGCCTTTGGCTGGGCGCTGCGCTGCTCTGCATACACGCCAGCATCCGCCTGGGTGACGCGCAACGCGTCGAACGGCGCACCCTCGACCTAAGCAACACCGCACTGCGTGGCATCTGTTAGCAAACAAAGACCTGCAAGCAAGGGCAGCCATGGGCGGTGCACTTCTTGGGGTTCTCCGGAACCGACGCAAGCACGTCGTGGGTGGTGAGCTGGCTGAAGCTACTGCACCTGTTTCTTGCAGAGCACCCGCGCAACCGCCCAGACTTCCTCTTCCTGCGTTGCAACATCACAGACGCCCCGCCAGCCCATGCACTGCCGAGCAGCTACCACCACAGCCTTCGGGTCCTACGCTGGGCCTGCGCAGCACCCTGGTTGCCACCGTCCCAGCAGCTGCTGCATCACGCCGAATCCCTTTCGCTGACTCTGCGCAGCCTCAAGTCATGCCTCCTATAGCAACCGCAGCCCAGCGGGAACTGCTGAAAGAGAACCGCCTCCTGCAAGGGCATCACCGCGACAGCGCTGCTCTTTACTCGCGCGACGACACCATAGCAAGCCTCGGCATCCAGCGAGACATCCGCCAAGCCCTACACGCAGGATGGCGCCCCCAGCGCTCTATGGCAAGACGGGGACAAACCCCAGTGCCTGAGCCTCCCTTCGTGCTAAGCACTGCATCTCCACAGCCCTGCCTCTCCGCGCAACAACTCCGCGACCCA